GTCCCACATTTTCATGAATAACAACTGTATCAACAAAAAGACAGATATTAAACAACTGAGTGTCATTTACTCATATTTGCTAAACTGCGAAAAATTGGAGAAATTACATATCTCCCCAAATTTCGACTTTTCACAACCATAAATATAATCTGTGTTTTGGCCGATTCCACCAACAAATTTCATTCCATTCAAAATCTAATAATTCTCTTCTCACGATTTATTAATAATTATTAATTTAAAATTCCCATCAATTAAAATATAGTTTATTCAACTGCCTCTGGTCGGTTTAACAATTTCTTACATAACATTCTGAAAATACGTCATCTGAAGTGATTTGGCAACGTTTTGGCACACGCCCACAATTCGTTCCATCTTTTAACACAGACATTGACAACCTTCGGCCTTCTGTCAAAGGTTCATCTCACTCATTATTCCATGACCACCATTTTGTGCAATCATCAAGTGACTTCACGACGTAATGCTCTAATGTTTTCTAAATAATTTTTAATCTGTCTTTAACTTGTCTTGTCATATTTTATATAATTTTAACCATTGTACCATGTATCCAGCTCTCACCATGTTACTGGAAGTTTCCCTCATCCTATACGAAAACAGCAATTAGCAACATCCTCACATACTACTGTAAGTTGATTCAATTTAAATTCATTTTACACTTTTGTTGCTACTGTTATCATTGTAATTGCAGCTCCTGATGATGATGGCAAAGTCCATTGAAAGCTAGAGAGAATTAAAAAAAGTATAAAGAGTCCTCTTTGCTTAAATTTTGTCGAAGTACCCAACAAAAGGCGGAAGCTTTAATTTTTCACCTATATATATATATATATATATAACAAGCATCACTCTGCCTAGACTAACCATTCACACTAAAATTATTGGTACGGTTGCTTGATACTTTATCCTGACTTCAGCTAAAAATCTGCTATAAATGTTCTAAGCTACTACAAGGATTCTAAAGAGCATCTATCTATGAACAAAACGGCGCTCTGTACCTTTTTGTTCTTCCTCATGTCATCACTGATCTTCTCCAGGTATTCAGGATCATCGTTGCAGATCTTCACGTATCTTGACATCTTCAGAAGGTCGTTCAGCCAGAACACCTGGCCGAACCACTGGTAAGTAGTCCATCTTAGGAAGGCTTGGATATCTCTCTCTAAGTAAAACAAATGCAGACCGAATTGTCCACCGATTAACCAAAACAGGTATGCCCATAGGACGTTCTTTCCGCCAGTACCCATATGCTTCGCGAACGGAATACATATTCGCGCAACGTAGTACCGATGTAGCTTATCTCTGAGTCGTAAATAACAATCGGTTAATTTGTGCGTGCTTTTCGTCGATTTTTCTAGGTTTTCGTCAACGGTTGATAATAATGGAGTACCTTAGTCATGGGATACACTGATAAATACACTTCCACGTAAAATTAACCGGACAAACCAAATTTTGTACAAATTAAATTTTAAATAAGTTTTTAACCTTTGCATCCCTTTCGTTATTTTTTTCGTCAAATTGTAGGTAATTTCATTATCGACTGTCTATTTTGCGTTGTTATACAGGGTGTAACTGAAGGGTGCATTTTGACCTAAATTTCTTGATACCCTGTGAAAGCATTGGATTACTGAATGATGTGTCTTAGTATGAGAATTTTAAGCATCAACTTTCCTCAACAGTTTTTTTTTTATTCATGTCAATATCTCAATAATTGAAGAATAGTATGCTGTTTTGAAGAAAATCACGCGAATCATAGCCATAAACAAGAAATCGTTTCAAGCAGGCTTTGCCGGGTAAGAAATTGTTTCAAGAAGGCTGTGTCTGTTAGCATTTTTATGACATGTCAAAAAGATTCTTGTCAAGCAATATACAAAAATGACACCGGAACAAGCAGCACAAGCTGTAGCTTTACAAGGTTATAGTCGTCCTATTCGGTAATGTATGCTGATGACACTTCTTTACTTGTTAATTGTAAAAACCTACGAGTAGAATCTGTTGTAGGACTTGGCAATTCAAGCTTGTCTGGTGCAGGTAAGTGGTTCAGCAATAATGGGCTCGTCTTAAATAATCAAATATCTGTTTTTCTTAGATTTAATCTTTCCACCTCTGATGGATCACACTTTATCAATAAAATCGTTTGGCAAATCAATAAAACAGGTGGATGCGACAAAATTTTTAGGGATATATATACCTGTATCTCAAAATTGTAGATGGGATACGCCTGTTAAGAAAAGTAGCCAAAAGATCGCCCCACTCCGTTACTGTCTGTACCAGTTAAGTTTTGTTGTGGAGAAGTGGATATTACTGATATTTTACCATGCACATATCCATTCTGTCCAGTTTATGGAATAGAAGCATGCGGAGGAGCGTCCCAGCTGCAAAGACTTTTTGTGTTGCAAAAAAAGGCTGTTTGAGTAATAGCTAAAATTGGAAGGCTCACTAGCTGCAAGGATTCATTTAGAACATTAAAGATTTTAACCTTACCATCTGTATAGATATACTCGATATACTTATCCTTGCTAAAACACAATTGAGCAAGTATAATTCTGTAAGCACTGATGCTTACTTTACAAGGAACAGTCAAGTATTGGGGGTGCCGTCGCATAGATTGGCGAGAACGGAGGAGAGCCCTAGATACATGGCTATTAAGTTTTTCAACAGACTCCCCAACAATTTAAAATCACAACCACTGAACACTTTTAAAAGAACAGTTAAACAGTTGTTATTGGAAAAAGTTTTTTACTCTATTGAGGAATTTTTAATGTGTGAATGTCTTGTTTGATTTTGAACATTGTTGTTTGAATGCCACTTAATAGTTTGTCCTTTATTTCGCTTTTTTATATATACATATATGTTTTATATATATAATTTTTATCTATACGCTAATTTGATTTATCTGTATCCATATTTGGAATATGCCATATGTCGTACGAATATGTGTGCGTCCACACTAACATGATTTGTTATTAGCTTTTGTAGTGCTCTGACTCACTTATCCTATATCACATCTGTGATCATACAGGAATAATAAATTATTATTATTATTATTATTATCTCACAAAGGCTTGCCGTTCCACGCAGTACGGTATTCGATGCGATACAAAGATTTAGAGAAACTGGTTCTTACTCAAGAACATGTGGTTCCTCATATGCCCTTTATATGAGAAAATTTTCTCCTAATGCAAGATAATGATCGACCGCATATAGCCAGGATGACTAGGCAATACCTCAGCGATGTTGGAATTCAAGTACTACTGTAGCCACAAAGGAGTCCGGATCTCAACCCCATTGAGCACATATGGGATACATTAGGAAGAAGGCTTGGGTAGAACTACGGATAATTTCAAACTGTGTCTGCGTTGGAACAGGCGCTGGTAAACGAGTGAGAGCAAATACCCCAACACACAATAGCTAGTTTAATTGAATCTATGCCAGAGATGATGAGAGCTGTTATTCAAGCCTGGCGAGGAAATACTCATTTTTGATAACAATTTCTAATTACCAATGCTGTCACTGTAATTTTTAAGTTAAATTGTTTATGGCTATGATTCACATGATTATCTTCAAAACAGCATATATTCTTCAGTAATCGAGATATTGACATGAATTAGAAAAAAAACTGTTGAGAAAAATTGAGGCTTAAAATTCTCATACGAAGACACAATATTCAGTAATCCAATGTTTCCACATGGTGTTCAGAAATTTAGGGCAAAATGCGCCTTTTCGTTACACTCAGTATAACAACAAACATTTCCATGTTTTTGCAAGATCATTAGTCCATAATGATGATGTCAATAAAATTACAACTGATGTATGGACACACCCAAATATCTCGGAAACTGAGGGTGCTAGAAAAAACTTTAGATACAACAGTTTTAGGAAATCAAATAGCGCATGGTGACCTTGGATTTGCCGTTGATATTCACCTTGGAAGTCATTTCTAGGGCAAGTTGATTTTTTCAAATAGGACCCCCCATTTTTTATTGTAGAAGTTGAAAGCCAAAGAATTCCTTTTTCAATGGTATAAACATCATAGGGATCAAAATTAAATCTAGATGTTATTTGAAGGTCAACTGTTGCTCTTTCATGGAATTTTGTGAATCTGCAGATAGCTGGAAATAGAAGGATGTTAAGCAAGAAATATTAATGCGAAAATTGCGGGACACCCAACGGCACATCTAACGGTGAACTTCATTCTGACCTTGGTTATGCCCTTGAAGGTATATTCAAGGTCAACTTGATTTTTTCACATGGAAACGCTTAATTTTAAACTTTCATATCCAAATGTTCAATTAACGGAGGTAAAATCACGCCTAGAGGTTATTTCAAGGTCAAATAACCTATTTTCGTGAATTAAACTGCCACGTAACCATGATACCCCCTTCCTCTCATCATGAGAATAGTGATTCGTTCACGAATCCCTCGAACGATCAATTTTCAATTATAAAAACTGAATGATTTAAGCAATAGAGTGAGGTGAATGTCGGGGATCAAAATTGAGAGTTTGATCTTGAGCTGATGTTCAAGTTGAGAATGAAGGTACCATCAGATGTGCCATTGGGTGTCCTACAACTTTTTTGTCTTTCTAATCCCGCAATAAAAAAGGGGGGTTCCTATTTTAAAGAATCAACTTGCCCTTAAAATGACCTTCAATGCGAATGTCAAGATCGAATTCAAGGCCACCACTGAATACGCCATTTGATTTCCTAAAAACTTTTTTGTATTCAATGTTTTTTCTAACAAACTTGGTTTCCAAGATATTTGGGGAACCCTGTATGGCTTTCAATACATGGTAATTTTGACAGATAACAAGTATTGTCAATAAAGTTAGAACGGTTGCGAAGAATATTTGCATCCAGGAGTAACTGGTCAGCCAAAAGTTTCAATCAGAGTTTTAATTGATTAATTAAATTAGAGATTTGTTAGAATTTCTTTATGATTCTCGTTAAAAACAAACAACCTTGTAGCGAAGTACCATAACATGACCGTACCTTAGCGTTTTTCCTCATCTTCTCGCTGAGCTCTGCTAAGAACTGTGGATCGTTGTTGTAGTCCTTGACGTACCTGGGGATCTTGGTAACATCGGCCAACCACCCCAGGCCGTATCCACCTAGAGTACTCCATGTCAGAAAGGCGTGGATGTCCCTTTCCAAGTAGAACAAATGCAGTCCGAAGATTCCTCCAAATAACCAATACACGTACGCCCAAAATACACTCTTTTTGCCACCCTCCATGTCCACTTAACGGTACCCACTAGAAGTGGTACCCTATCACCGATTTGCAAAAAACTATCGTCTGATTTTCACATGTTTTCGTCCAATGTTTGTGACTTTTCGCCGTAGCTTGTAGGGTTCATTGAACGGCACCGCCAGAGGTTATACAGGTACTGCCGCGTACACGCTACACGGTACTTCCACGTATACCTGTCGGCGGCTGTCTCAGTCCTCATTTCGGCGACGTTGACACACTTGCATGCGTCTCTAATCTATATAAAATGAGAATGGTACCAAGCAGTAGTACGACTCGACTCGACAATCCTATCGCATTGGTTACGTGCGGTGACATTGAACTTCGTACTTGAAATTGGAACACCAGAGGAAATGTTGGATTGTTAAATATTTAGGATTGTACCGGCTCATGTGAAGAGCTGGTATTAGCAATACGAGTACTGATTCGAGTAACTGATGATTATAATATATATGTATAAGCGTAAGGCACCGAATAGTTACGGCAGGAAAAAAATAGACGAACCAACCTTTGCATATTCTATAGGTTTCATACTTTCGGTTGGTATTAAATTTATTCGTTAAACTCATTAGTGCAAAATTTTATAAGAAGTTATTTTTCAATGTTGAATCACAGTCTCGCCAGGAATTTTTAGCCAACTCACCCGCGATATATTTTTTAACACACTAAATTTAATATAACATACTTTTCATCCATTAAACATATGGGTGAATTTCTAATTCGGATTTTCTACTATTACTAACTATAACTGTGACAAAAAGGTACTCGAATACATCAAAAAATCCTAGAGGTCGGAACGTGTTCCATATATAGTAATCTTGGTACTACAATCTTAAATTACATTATTACTCACTTATTTGAAGTAAGAATCGCGTGATAGCTAAAAGATTGTGTTTTTATATCAAACACTATATATTATTCGACGAATGTGAAGAGTATAATTGATCTTGACCGTTATTTCATATTCAGGCTACATGTAAATAAAATAGATTAGGGTGACTGACCACGCATGGCAATAACTTAATTTGTGATATTTGATATACTAAGTGACATATAAATCCGAACACCCAGTTTAAATGGTTTTATTTTAATAAAAGTTGGTGAATGTATTTATCTTACTGTAAATAACAAGTGAAAAAATTTTCAGCCTTATCAGTTGGACATTCCGGTTTTTATACTGCTTTTTTTAATTCACTAACGCTCTAAAAATGAATATTTCAGCCGCAGTAAAGAATCAACGTTGGCGGATTTTGGTTCTTGACATCCTTTACAATCGGTTACGATGCCTAGAGTACGGAGACCTGTACGATTTCGTCAACTTAGTGAGTTTGATAGGGGCCGTATAGTGGGACTTCGGGAAGCTGGACTTTCTTTTCGGGCAATTGCAGTTAGAGTGCAAAGAAGTGTAGACAGTGTGGTTAGGTGTTGTCAGGCATGGCTTCGAGAAGGCCGTACGCAAAGAGCAAGGGGCACTGGACGCCGCCGTAGAACAACAGACCGTGAAGATCGCCGCCTAAGATTATTGGCCTTAAAGGACCGTTTCTCAACTACCAGGTCCATTGCAAATGAATGGTTTGCAGAACACGGAAGACCTATTGGCATGCGAAGTGTTTACCGACGAATGAGAAGTTTTGGCTTGTTTTCATACCGGCCACACTGGGTCCTCCCTTTAACTCGAGAACACCGACGTAATCGCCTTGAGTGGTGCAGACAACGGTCACTCTGGGATCAGGAATGGAACAGTATTGTCTTGAGTGACGAGTCTCGATTTTGTTTAGGCATGCACGATGGTCGTGCCAGGGTTAGAAGGCGACGTGGTGAAAGGAGGAATCCACAGTTTTTTGTTGAAAGACATGTTCATCACACTGTTGGAGTTATGGTTTGGGGTGCTATAGCTTATGGTTCCAGGTCACCTTTAATCTTCATCAGAGGTAACATGAACGCGCAGCGTTATATCCACGAAGTTCTAGAACCCCATCTTTTACCCTATCTTGACACCCTGGCAGATCCAACTTTCCAACAAGATAATGACCGACCACATGTTGCAAGAGTCACAATAGACTTCTTTCAACATAATGATGTCACATTGTTACCATGGCCACCAAGATCTCCCGACTTATCCCCAATTGAGCACGTGTGGGATATGATGGGTAGGAGATTGCTCAATTTGCAACGTCCTCCTCAGACTCTAGAAGCACTTCGAGAAGAGTTGGTGGTTGCCTGGAATGAGATACCACAGGAGGACATTGACCACCTGATCAGAAGCATGCCTAGGCGCGTTGGAGAATGCGTAGCACATCAGGGTGCATCCACACATTATTGAAGGTCAAACGGCTTTAAAGCAGTGCAATCATTTTGAAATTTTTATCATTTACTTATTATGCTTCATTAAGTACTTATACAAAATTTTATTAAAATAAAACCATTTAAACTGGGTGTTCGGATTTATATGTCACTTAGTATATGTTGAAAAATTTAATGTGTGACACGTTGTGCAATTTTTAGTATTTTGACATTGATTTAATATGCTTACTTTAATTTCCTAAAGATTTAATAAAAATGTTTGTCGTACTTAAAGAACAATAAACGAATTCGTAAGGTATTCAGCCCGCAAACATATTGCGTAACTTAAAAAGTGACATTATATCGATTTTTTATGACATTATGTAGGTTCTCCTAAAAAATCTCACTTTTGACCTAGCCGACATTCACTTGATGCTCACTTGTCGTAGGCGCGGAATGAACTAGCGGCTTCGTAGTGCACCATTTGACATTTTACCGATTTTTTGTCATTACATAGGTTTTTACGTAATAACACCCTGCCGATAATTCTAGTAGGTACATTCTGTCTGACTTAGGTAAGGGGAAGTTTACTTTCTCTGTTCTCTCCATGTTCGAGCCTCTTTTGATAACAAGGGTTTATTTCAATTTTGCATTAATTACTGGTACTTCTATCCCTCATATACCACTTAATTTGATTTGAAGAGGAAAACAGGTTTGTACAGCGTTCATTTTAGAAAAATAATTCCTCGGAAATTGCCACATGTCCCTGCATATACTACAGCAGCAACCATACTATTTGACTGTACTATTTCAAGTTTTTATTATGTTTTGCTTAAACGGGCAGTCAGCCAGTCGGTCCGGTCAGTCTGTCAATCATGCTTCACGCATGAAGACGAATGAAGACTAGACATAGGTGGTTAAACTCATGGTCTGGGGGGTGGGGCAAAACAAAATTGTCGACGATGCAATGAGTTGGTATACTGCGCAAAAAATGAATTTCAGGTACTGCGCACAAGACATCGCATTCATGTACTCTGCGCAGAACATGAATTTCAGGTTCTGCGCATGTCGCATCTCTCACACTCTGTTGTCATGATGACTGTCCAAATTTTGACAGTTCGGACGACTTGCAAACAGGAATATTGTATAATGTTAATAAACCACAACGAAAGATACAAACATACAAAGCATGGCAAAACATGAGTAAAATGCAATTACAGATTGCGGAAGGTTTTATTGACATTTTCCAATGCGCAGAGGCAGTATCCATATTAAAAACATACAGAGAGTAAGTATGAGTTGATGATTAGCCATCTTATAACAGCTTGTGTTATTAACATTGCTACTATATTATACCTTAAAAGCACTTGATCGTCAAGATATTATCTTGGTCACACATGCCCTTATAACATGTTCCATATCCCACAAAATTTCTATACAGGGTGTAAACGTTTTGATAGTCATTATTTAAATGGGTGATAGAGCGGGTTGAATAAAGCAAAAAGGTTCATATAACATGGGGGTCAAAACGGCATTTTTTTAGGGAAACGCGACTTTAAAGTAAAATAAAATCTGACATCGCCGCAGTGCCAGACGCAAATTACGACGGAACGCAGTGTAAATAAAGATAGGGATTGTTTATTTTGGCTCTTAGGTATTATTTCATTATTTCATAATGTACTCGTAAAATGCAAACAATTAAAAAAAACGGACTTACCACTAACTGTCGCATCGCTTCACCTGGTGTGCGAAAGTTTATTGAACGTATAAAAAAAATCCACTTATAAATAGGGAACACAATTTTGATACATACATTGTTTTTCCTTTTAAAATCCACACTGCACTTTTTTTGTATTTAAAGGTGTTCAAAATGTCGCCCTCCACTTTCCACACAAGCTTCATTACGACCTTCACGAATGGTATGAGGATTTTCTTGGGCCCACGTGTGAGTATTGTGGAAATTTAATATCCCATCTGGCATAAAAATACATTCGTCCGTCGCTAGAATGTTTTTAAAAAAATCCGGATTTTCAATGTTTTTGTGCAAAAACCACTGACAGAATGTTAGTCTACGAGGATAGTCTTCTGGTAACAAGGCCTGCACTTGTTGTACATGGTAGGGATAAAGCAAATTTTCCCGTTTGATTCTATGGACTATGCTATGCGATAGTCCTACGCGGCGGCCTAATTCCAGAGTGCTGATATCTGCGGGATGATGACGCAGAAATGATGAAAAAGCGATGAAAAAAAGATATTAAACAAAACTGTATACAGGTGGACATCATACAGTGAGTTTATATGGCCATATTATAATATTCTTGTGGTATATGGCTATACAGGAAACTTTGTTAAGCATAGGAACGAGATTTAAAGTGTCCCCAACAACAGTAATGATTATAACTAATAAGGTGCCTGTATCAAGTTTCCCAAAAATGAAGCTGAATTAAAATATCCAATACTCGGCAAAATTCTAACTTGTCACGTGTCAAATAATAACCACAAATATAAAACTACTCCTGAGTTGGGTAAATACCACAATTTTGCGGTGATAACTATGACATATAACAGCTGATTCATGACGTCACGGATCTTATAACCAAACTAATAACCACACTCGTTTGAACGGATCGGTAAATACCAATCCAAAATGGTAAATACCATTTTCATTTGGTTATCCGCTTGAATTTGGTTAATATGACATGTTTCACTCTGCCCAACGTTTATCTCAACGTTGCCAACTATTTGCATATAGGAAATTACGTATTCACAAATTAGAGCGTCGAAATGTGCAGTTTGCAGTTGTTAATATAATAATCAAATCCAAGCGGACAACCAAAACTTCCGTATTATGTACCGCGGTTATAATATGGTTCAAGATGACACACGGGATGGTGACGTCAGTTACTTGAATCGCTTGAACGCGTTGGTTTTAACCGCGGTTTGTTGCAAGTTGTTTATTTTAGAAAAGCACGTATATAATTTCTGATTCTTTTTATTATCACTTAATAATCGGTGCTTTTTCGTCTACAAAGGGGTATGGAAAGTTGAAAAAAGAAAACTTTCATAATATTAATGGGAGGAATGTTTTTTTTTTTTTCGAAAAAAATTTTTACTGATGGAACCATGGCTTTGTAGCTATGTTAACTTTCAATTCTCTAAACTTTTCCGCATGTCAAAGATAATATTTATTGATTTAGCAGAAATGATGAAAAAGCGATGAAAAAAAGATATTAACAAAACCGTATACAGGTGGACATCATCCAGTGAGTTTATACGGCCATATTTTAATATTCTTGTGGTATATGGCCATACAGGATTCTTTTTTAAGTTTAGGAACTAGATTTAAAGTGTCCCCAACAACAGTGATGATTATAAATAATCAGGTGCTCTCTTATGCTAAAACTGAAGTCAGCCTGTATCAAGTTTCCCAAAAATAAAGCTGAAGTACAATAAAAATATCCAATACCCGGCAAAATTCTAACTTGTCACATGTCAAATAATAACCAGAAATATAAAACTACTCCGGAGTTGGGTAAATACCACAATTTTGCGGTGATAACTATGACATATAACAGCTGATTCATGACGTCACGAATCTTATAACCATACTGATAACCCCACTTGCTTGAACGGATCGGTAAATACCAATCCAAAATGGTAAATACCATTTCCATTTGGTTATCCGCTTGAATTTGGTTAATTTCGTATCCTACAAATATGACATGTTTCACTCTGCCCAACGTTTATTTCAATGTTGCCAACTATTTGCATATAGGAAATTACGTATTCACAAATTAGAGCGTCGAAATGTGCAGTTTGTGATATGCAGCAAGTATATGACTAGGGGATGGGTAAAATGGCGCAGGAGATGCACTATGCGTTGGGCCTCGGGACACAAGTGGCCCGTTTATGGGCCATCAGTACATAAAAAGGTATACTTCCAAAATCAAGGCGACACAGTACCTCCTGACCCCGGACACGGTGAACGTATCGGCAATGGGATAATGGGAATGAGAATATAAAGGGTTGTTATGCCGGGCATGTTAAAATGGATTTTTAAATAACTCCTTACAATTCTAGAAACCATAATCAAATTCAAGCGGATAACCAAATGGAAATGGTATTTACCATTTTGGGTTGGTATTTACCGATCCGTTCAAGTTATTAGTTTGGTTATAACATCCGTGACGTCACGAATCAGCTGTTATATGTCATAGTTATCACCGCAAAATTGTGGTATTTACCCAACTCAAGAGTAGTTTTATATTTCTGGTTATTATTTGAAATGTGACAAGTTAGAATTTTGCCGGGTATTGGATATTGTTATTGTACTTCAGCTTCATTTTTGAGAAAATTGATACAGGCTGAGTTCAGTTTTACCATAAAGTGGAGCACCTTATTATTTGTACTCATTGGGGACACTTTAAATGTAGTTCCTATGCTTAACAAAGTATCCTGTGTAGCCATATACCACAAGAATATTAAAATATGGCCATATAAACTCACTAGATGATATCCACCTATATACGGTTTTGCTAATTTCTTTTTTCATCATTTCTGCTGAATCAATACATGTTTTCTTTGACATGCGGAAAAATTTAGAGAATTGAAAGTTATCATAGCTACAAAGCCATGGTTCCATCATTAAAAAAAAATCTGAAAAAACATTTCTCCCATGAATATTATGAAAGGTTTCTTATTTAAACTTTCCATATACAGTTGTAGACGAAAACGCACCGATTATTAAGTGATAATAAAAATAATCAGAAATTATATACGCGCTTTTCTAAAATAAACAACTTGCAACAAAACCGCGGTTAAAACCAACGCGTTCAAGCGATTCGTGTAACTGACGTCATCAACCCGTGTGTCATCTTGAACCATATTATAACCGCGGCACATAACACAGAAATTTTGGTTATTCGCTTGGATTTGATTCATGTCAATTTCTTAATATTTCACAAGGGTGCGGCATAGGATGGCAAAATTAGCATATTCCTGTCAATTGTCAAATCTGTTTTTACTCCTGTCCTCTGTCCGTCTCTCCTCTTTCCTCTATGTCAAATTTGTCAAACAAGTTGTCATAATTTGGAATTTATGAAAAAGTGAAGGTTTAGATTTTTTACGTATTTATTTTTTGGGTGTGCGTATGGTACTGATTTGGTGTATAGGGTACGGTTAGCAGCTCGATTCATTGTTTTTGACTTTGAACTAAGTCAAAAATGTCTGAACATGTGGAAAGCCATTTGGAATCCATGTCTGCTGAATTCATGGAAATGAAAAGAATAAGGTTATTTTCTTCGGACGAAATAAGGTACTATATTTGCTTAACCCAATATTCTTTTGATTAACCTTGCCCTTCTCATTTTTAGATTAATTCTCAAAACTCGGAAACAGCACGAGTATAAAATAAATGGCGTAACAAAAAAACTAGAAGACTTTATGAACTATATAATGTATGAAAAGGCAGTTTTGAGAGACATACGAATAAGACGGAACAAATTGAGAATAGTAGACAAGAAAGGAGCCATAGAATATTCAATAACGAAGAGGATCAAACATTTGTATGAAATCGCCATCCAGAATTATTCTAATGATTTTCCATTATGTTTATCATACTTTAAGTTCTGTAAAGAAGCTAATTTCCACCAGAGAGCATCACTAATTATACAAAGTATTACTAAGGTACCATTCACTCAAATTGTAAGTTTAAATTACTCAACAAAAATGGAATTGTAGAGATTCACCCACATCCCAGAGACATGGCAAGTAGCAGCATCATGGTATCTGAAAAATGACTTGAACCAAGCTCTAAATATGATCCACAAAGGTATCACACACCATAAAGATAACCAAGATCTATATTGTGAGGCAATACAGTTGGAATTGCATAATAGGTATGTTACCATCACCACCAATAAAAAAGTACAGTTGTCCCTTGATAATCTGACAGGTATGGGACCGGGTGGGTGTCAGATTATCAAGCATGGTTTTTTCTTAATACATTTGATCAAAGAAAAATAATATGTACTATGAAATTAAAAGTATTAAATAGTACATATATGTAATTTATTACATATGTACAAAACTAGGTAATACTTACAATGATGGTAAAATATTTCAAACAAAATATGGTTTTTTAAAAAACTGGACTTTTTGTTTTAAAATGTCTCCTGAAATAGGTGCACTCTGGTTCCATTGCTGTTTGAACCACATGAAAAGAGCGTCTTTGACCTCAGGGAACTCGCTAGTTCTAAGAGTCTTTCTGTTTATAGGTAGGCCATTATCAACAGATGAATGTTTCAATTTTTTCCCTATTTTTCATGATATCATAAACAGTAGGCCGTCCAATATCACACTTTAGATATTGCAGTCAGAGTTTCACCACGGTTTATTCGTTTAATAATGTCCCATTTTTCAGTTAGATTTAATGTTTTACGTTTCACACTTTTACTTGCCATTTCTACTCTGTCAGTATAAAATACTGTCTCTACACAATCACACTATCAAAATACTATACCCCACGAAGCAACAGAATGTACATACTGAATGTACACTCCTCACGAAGCAACAGTCAAAAACTAACATAAATGTGCATATATGTACATAGTGCGGCAAGGTAGCAGAGATGAGCCGGCGCCGGCGCGTCGGATTACCGAGTACGTCGGATTAGAAAGTGTCGGATTAGCGAGGGACAACTGTATACTCTAATATTGTTGTACTATAACAAGTCACACAAATTTCTTAATAACATATATGTTTTAGCTTTTTAAATAAAGGGATTCATGTAAACTAACAAGGGTACACATCATTTTGCAATAAAGCTACATTTTGTTTTTCTACATCAGGGCTGTCCAACTTAATGTGCCAGGGGCGACTTCAAAAAAAAATGCAGTTTGGAGGGCCGTATTGTAAAATCTTTCTATACAACATTATTACAGAGTTAATGTAAGAATTGTGCATATTCGGTATTTGAGAGTAATTTATACATGTGATGTATACATGACCCGTGAAGCGGGCCGCAAGAAAGGAGTCCTCGGGCCGTATGTTGGACAGCATTGTTCTATATAATCCCATTAAGGGGGCTCGCAGTGGTATTTGAGGTTAGAAAAAATTGAATTTCAACTGATTCTCTGATACCAAACTAAATCATGTATATGATATGGTTATGGATTTAGTTTAGAATAAAAATAAAATTGTCAGGTTGAAATTGAAATTTTTCTTAACCTAAATACCATACAAACTCCAGCATAACATCAATGCACCTCTTCCATCTGTACTCCAGCATTTCTTACAGCTCCTAGCCAACTTTCTTCTCACTGCTGGAAACAATTCCTCAACTGTAGATATCTCAACATGTTGACTGCTTAAAATTTCACTGAATCCCAAATACCACTGATGTCATAATGTGTATGAGCGAGAAGCATGCTATATGTGTGTCACTAGCTACCCGAGTATGAGGTCACTGAAGCCATCAGTGCACTCTTTGTAACACAAGTATCGCTTCTCTCTCATACACATTAATTACAGTATCAACCAAATTTGAAATCTCACCATATTCTCTTTCTATTGGAGGGTAATGAAAGCTTTAATAGCTCTAGGTAATATGCCAATTTGAACAAGTTGTGCCTATAGTGTATTTACACCCAAGATAGAATGGATGTGTGATTGCCAAAAGCAAGGACGGCATACAGGGCTGCATTCAGGGCTACCTCCGAATGATGGACTACCACCAACGTGTTGTAAAACAAAGATGACAGTATTTAACAGAAACAACAAATTACTCAAATACACTTAACAACAACAACAGCAACAACCAAGCAAGGTGAATACGAAAACACCAGCACGTAGTGATACACGCGACGGACGGTGGCCTGAGTGCAACTCTGCCTGCCCTGCCCCTGCCCCGCGCATTATTCCGCCAGGCGACCGCTTGAAATTTAATGGCGAATTGACCAATAAGAGGCGTTGTCCCCACCTGTTACCGAGAGATCACGCGCTAACTGTTATTATTTACATCTCATCTTGAATTTGGATTCAGTTTAGGTAAACTTTGATTCAAAACTTCTAGGGACAAAAACAACTCCAATGAGGGATCTCAGTTTCAACAACCCACTGCCTCAGATGTAAATTCATGCAAAAAAATTTCCACCTATGTAGATGCTGCTTGTGAACACATCAATGATTACAATTTTTTGCTGAAAATTCTTTCGATATTGGAGAAACACCCTTTCACAAAAGAAGTCCAAGTTAGCATAGTTGCCAGATTATTAGAGAAACATTCTGGAGAAGAAAATGTTTGGAATGCACTAGCTCAAAGGGAATATAGGGGTAAGTTATTTAGTCCAGTTCAGGAATACAGGAAAAAATACCTTTTTTCATTAAAATTATTAAACTGCAAAGAGTGAATCATTGTTTATGCCAAGTCTTGATAAAACTTGAAGTGATGATTCTTTGTTCAGTTCTGAGATTAGTAGTTTATATAAACATATGTCTGACAATGAAGATACAAGGTGTTAAATATTTTTTATAAAAGTTCATCAATTCTTCAGCTCGTCTTGGATGAGATTTATTTGTTGAATTTTCAAGTGCATAATTTTAAAAAACCATGACATCCTGTACATTGAAACTGGAGCTTACCAGGTCTAATTTCATGTAAAGCTTTTCTTCTTTCAATCACTAGGAAATAAACCCTTATTGACCAGGCATTTTATTGGCACTCAGTATATTTTGGATCAGTTACTTCAATGGTTCAATTGTGTTGTATGCTTCTTATTGACCTGAATGGTTTGATGTGAATTAAAAAAGTTTTTTATATATGTTGAAATTTGTTCATCACATTCAACAAAAAATGGTGTATCATTATGTTATATGTGTTTCAAGAAATGTAGTACCACTAAACCCTTGGTGTTATAATTTTTCGACAGTGCTTTTATGATGCTTTTCTTCCCCAGGTCATCATTACAAAGTGCCACCAGAGCTTTCAAAGTGTAACTCTCACAAATTCCGTCTGAAACGCTGCCTGGATAAATATGAAGAAGGTATAGCAGTGATGGAGAAAGAGCATCCAACCAAAGTTGATTTGTTGTGGGGCATCTGTCTTGACTGGTTGGTAGATAAATATCAATGTCAGAGACAGGGGAATGTCGTTAATCAAACTTATGTGCTTGATATGTTTGAGAAGGCTTCTAAAAGTAGCATTTTGGAAGAGAAATACTATATTATCTGGGCTAAACTTTTGGATGATGAAAAAAAAGTATTGGAAGTTATAGAGAATGGTAAGTGATGTGGAAGCAGAAACATGATTGGATGTAGTTAGGTGATTCATGCACAACTTCCTCAATAAATAATATTCCAATAGGTATTTCAGGATTTAACTTTGTGCACTTTTCAACTACCTGAGTTAAACATTTTATATTGCAACAGTGTCATATAGGGACTCTGAAATTATCAAACATTTTACAATGGAGGAATTTTTAAAAATTGTACATGTGTGTTACTAAGGATAACTCTCATTTTTTCATGAAGATTGCGACGGTCGAGTGGTAAACATTCAAGGCAAGTGTTATCACAAATACAAACTTTCATGGTCCACTAAGATATGCGATTCAACAACAACTTATCCTTTCAGCAAGATAGGTCCACGTGTCATACAGCTGATATAGGGTTTTGGAGATTATTATCTATAAAACATAACTCCCATACTTCTACATTCTGACAATATAAAGCATGATATTTATCCAAAATTCTGTTTCATGCAAAAACAAAATCTCGAAGTACCTATTTCGTTAGAATCCATACACATGAGTTACACTAGTAACTGTTATTGATCGAATTTTATATAAATACTAGTCGGAAAGTTCACATTTCAAATTTGAATTACGCGGCAACCGTATACGCGAGGAAGTGGGGAGAGGTCTTGATCGGCGCGCGGGTTAAATACTCACAATGGAACGTTGGCCCGGAGCGCAACGTGTTTTTGGTACCGAGGCTTACTTTAAGAGTGGTGATTCATACGCAGCTGCCCTTCGGAAATTTTGTACACGATACAACATTCGCCGACCAAGAGTTGCCCCAAGTAAGAACCTATTGAAAAAGTGGGTTAAAAGTTTCCGTGAAACAGGCGCTACTCTTAGTCAACCCATGTTTGGCCCCACACCTTCTGTATCACCGAAGGAAATGTGCGCCGGGTAAGTGATTCGGTTATTGGAAATCCTCGGCGTTCTGTACGGAAGCATTCCGCAGCTTTGGGAATCCCTAGGTCAACACTGCATGGAATATTGATGAAAAAAAAATGGGTTTTCGTTCTTATAAAATCCAATCAGTCCATGCTTTAAAGGAAAGTGATTAAATATTACCGAAATCTTGTGCTGAATGGATGTTGAATCTTTTTCCTGCGCAGCGCAGACTCGAGAAGGTTGTTTTCAGTGACGAAGCCCATTTTCACTTAGACGGTTATGTGAACAAGCAAAATTGCAGATATTGGGCACCAACGAACTCAAAAGAGAAACATCAACAACAGCTACATAGTGCAAAGGTGGCTGTTTGTTGCGCCATATCCTTTAGCGGTATTATTGGGCCGTATTTCTTTGAAGACGAAAACGGTCATGCATGGACTGTCAATACCGAGCGATACAAGGACATGATTCACACTTTTTTGCTCCTATTGTAAGAACAGACCGACGATTCAACAGAAATACATGGTGTCAACAAGATGGGGCCACTGCCCATACTTCCAGAGAAGCGATGGACACGGTGCAAGCACTTTTTCCTCGTAGAGTTATATCGAAGTTTGGAGACATTCACTGGCCTTCTAGGTAAAGTAAAAGTGTATTCCAATAATCTACGAACACTCTAGGAGCTTAAAGACAACATTCGACGAGAAATAAACAACATCATCCGGAACTCTGCAAAAGGGTATTTCAGAATTTGCGCGCGCGATTAGAACAGTGTGTCCGAAGGGATGGCAAACATTTGGAAGGAGTGATATTTAAGGAATAAAACCCGCCGAATTTACGAATATGTTGATAGTTATAAATATTTTCTTTTCATTAAGTTTGTATTTTTTTGCTAAATCAAAAAGTGAACACTGAACACCCTGTAGTAACAGCTTACAAAATGTACACAATATGATCAATTTGAGCATTGTTGTGCCCCCCTCAAAATGTGTTTTTGACAATTAGCTCGAATTACGGAGATTGCACTGTAATTATATTACCGATTGCTAAAACTTTCAAAAAGAAACTATTGAGGAGTACTAGTGTAATTTTGCATGATTGAATATTTAACTACTAATAACTAAAGTCATGATTGGCGTAATTTATCTATCTTTGCTAACTACGAGTACAAAACTAAATTTAATAAAAAATATCGTACTTACTTTTCTCCAGTACTCTCAAACAAAATAACACTGACTCACTATAATTTGTGTGATATACTATCTGTTTATATTTTCTAAAATATTTTCTTAGTTCTTTCCTTTTCAAGATTCAGGAAACGAATTAACGTATTTTTCCTACATTCGTATTTATAGAGTGACGAATTGAACAATTCAGTGCAAGGTAGCGAAGCTCTGAGACTGCGACTCTCAGGTTTTTACAAGTTCAAAATGTATTGCGACCACAAAGCGAATACCAACATCCTACAACTTACACAATTTTATAAACATATGTATATACTAAATTTTTTACTTCATAGGTACTTTTATAAATAATGTATATGTTTTGATATTATAAGATAGTATGATGTAAGTAAATAGGTACTATCAGTGTATGTGTTGAGATCCACTATCGTGGACCCCCATATTCATTTCATGGACCCCCAAATTTTTTTTCGCTGACGTAGACCCCTTGCAGGTTGTCATAGACCCCTAGGGGTCGATATGGACCACTTTGGGAATCAATGGTCTAGCCCATCCAATTGACCAAAAAAAGTAACGTTGCAACATGTCTCTGTAGCGATCTCCGTTGACTAACGTGACGGTCATTTTCATCAATGTAAAAAAACGGCCCAATGACACCACCATACAGTTATGTGGATGAAGTGGTGTTTCTTGCAGCACATGTGGGTTTTCACCTGACCAATAACGCATATTCTGTTTGTTGGCGAAGTCGTTTAGCATAAAAATGTTCCTCCTCGCTGAAGATGATTTTGCGATGAAATTGTTAATTTTCAATTCTTGGTAACGCCGAGGAATCGACGTGTTCTGTTCGTTAGCGACTGAGGTTTAACGACAGCAATATTCTCGGCACTTCGACCAACACGTTGTATTTCGGGCACGGAAACATTCAGCAGCGAATATGTGGACTCAAATTTTTTAACCAGGCTATGATTTGCTTATCTACTGGGACGAGAATCACCACCAAAAATTGGCGTTAACGCCCTTGAAGTTGCAATCACCGACTCGGAATTTCGCTAGTAAATTTTATGTTAATTATTTGTAAGCGTTGTTCGTCCGTGTACTTCACCATGATGAAAATGTTTACTTTACTGAATGTTTGACATTGGCAGTTCGGTAATTATTTTAGTATATAAAGGAAAGAAGCATGATAAATTTTAAATGACATTATTTACCTAGCTGCTTTTCGTTATCATTATTCACCTAGGAAGAGAAAAACTCCTTCTTTGTGGAGCATTGAGGTCTGTAATAGTAATTTCCTCAAGTAGCAGTGAAAAAAAATCTATACATATACCCTATTTCACGAGTGTCCATCACGCTGTGATGTCTACTGAGGTGAAGAGCTGATCAGCAAGTGACATTTTTCTGTTTGCAACGTTGGCAATATTGAATCTAGTAAAACTTATGTGTGTTGTTTTGTGCTGTCATTCTACCGTGATGCATACTCCTGAAATATGGTATACATCATATTAAAAAGCTATTAATGGTCTCGCAGGGCACGATACGTGTCTCAGGTTACAAAACAACTTTTGGTTTTATCTCTCAACAACCATTATTTTTGTAGGTTTGAAGGAAAGTCCAACCTCTTTGGAACTATGGAAACTCCGCCTGAAGTACTCGGCTATGAAAAACGATGTAAAAGAATTTAACAACTGCTTCAAAGAAGGTGTAAAACGGGTCAAAGAGAAATCTGCCCCACTTTGGGTAGCAGCTTTGAGGTTCCATAGTTTGAACTCCAACGTAGAAATTGTAGAGGCAATTTTCAAAAAAGCAGTAGAACAGCCGAATGAAGTGTCTGGTGTCCTAAAACCTGAGTATATTGAATGGTTGACTTTGCATTGGGGCATCAATGAAGCAAGAAACATGTATTTGAAACTAGCTAGACAACAACCTTACTGTAAGGAGCTTCATAATGTCATGGCTAAAATTGAGAATATAGAAATTGATATAGATTTGAAAAGACTGGAAAACGTATATAAACTGGCATGTGAGCAGTTTGGACATGAAGATTGTGATGTTTGGGTCAATCAAGTGGAGTTTTATTATAAGCACCGAGATGGATTGATACAACTTAATAGTAATTTTGATATAAGTGAGTCAGTTTTAGCAGTCTATAAGGAAGCAGCGAAGAAGTTAGAAGGACAGGGTTTTTTGTGGGCAGATTTCACAGAGAAATTCAAACGCATCTCAGAATAGCCGCCTTTAGATATTAGTTTTACCATATATTTTATTATTGTAATGTAATGGTTTTAATAAAACATTTTTCCTATTTAATTATCTCTTTCCCTCTAAGCATACCTACCAGACTATCCATTATCACTTATGCTTTCAACATTGACATGTAGATTGACAGATGATAGCAGACTAACTTCTAACCATATTTTCTACCACCACTTCATAAGAAACCTTATGGTAATGAGGTCGCCCATTAGTCATGAAAAATATATATATATAGGATTATATTGACAATTTTAAGCACTTTTTGATAACCAAATAAGGAACCATGAGAATGACAAGTGACAACGCTCTTATTCCCAAGGTTTTGATCAGGGGAAGAAAAGTGCACTTTTGATATTGCAGAAGGATTACTTTCTTCTATTTCTGAATGCATGTAACAGGTACATCAGTTACCGACACTAAAATTGTTTCAGAGAAGTACTCTGTAACAATTATTATCAGTGTATGTTTTGTGGTTATGAGGGAGGCTGCTTGGAATGTTGAGGTCATGTAAGAGTAAATATTATTCTTTGAAAGGAAAATGGAGTTTATTGTGATCTTATTTGGCAACAACAAAATTGTATGTGAATGCCCAAATATGCATAGAGTTTGGGTTGGCTAGAGTTTACAGAACCAGCAATGAACTTTTGTTAGAGGTTTGATATCCTTTTTGATTTGCCCCATTCAGCAAGTACCCTGGACATTGGCTGTTTGTGTCCAAAATGAAAAAAATCACTGAGAAGGTTAAACTAATAATTTTCTTTATTGTGTGAAAAACCTGCCAGGCATGAGAATGCTACTATTCATTTATGCAAGACATGTGAGTGAGTTAAGAAGATCCATTTATAAAGGATGCTGTATGAAATTCCGGAGCATAAATTATATTCATCCATAAATAACAAGTCAAAGAATTACAGAGCAATGCCAATTATTTTCAAAAAGATATGATGTTAGTCTCAGGATATGGCATGTTCAACTTCATTTGGGCACACACTTTCTTGTATTTAGTTCTTATTTGATCTGCTAGTGTAACAATATCCACAGTTTCATCATTCACCCTAGGAAAGTTGTCTAAGAGGACCTTCAAGTGTTTTAGCTGCTCTTTGACTCGATCTAACATAGCCTTCTCATGTTGCTCTAAGCAAATCTCAACAACCCCTGTATAGAAACCCAATTCTGCTCCAAGTTCAGCTCCTCGATGATATCCTAAGTGGTAGCCTTCTGAGTTCCCTTGAGAGGCACCCTCATTGAATCCTGCTTGATATGCTTTTTTTATGACTGTCTCTTCGGCAAACAAGATTTCATCAAATGCATCATTTATATCTTTCTCGACAGCAGAACTCATTTAAATTACTTTAAATGGTGTATTTTGCACTTTGAAAAAATTTCTGCACAATTGTTTATCGCACAAAACATAATACAGGTTAGTTATATCTCGAGTATCCGTCACGCTTTGACGTCTACCGTCTACTCAACAGCTAATCAGCAAGACAGCAAGTGACATTTTTGTATTATGTCGGGTTCATGCACGACTTAAATCAAATCCAAGCGAATAACCAAAATTTTTATATGGTTCAAGATGACACACGGGTTGATGACGTCAGTTACACGAATCGCTTGAACGCGTTGGTTTTAACCGCGGTTTTGTTGCAAGTTGTTTATTTTAGAAAAGCGCGTATATAATCTCTGATTATTTTTATTATCACTTAATAATCGGTGCTTTTTCGTCTACAACTGTATATGGAAAGTTTAAATAAGAAACCTTTCATAATATTCATGGGAGAAATGTTTTTTTCAGATTTTTTTTTTAATGATGGAACCATGGCTTTGTAGCTATGATAACTTTCAATTCTCTAAATTTTTCCGCATGTCAAAGAAAACATTTATTGATTCAGCAGAAATGATGAAAAAAGAAATTAGCAAAACCGTATACAGGTGGATATCATCTAGTGAGTTTGTATGGCCATATTTTAATATTCTTGTGGTATATGGCTGCACAGGATACTTTGTTAAGCATAGGAACTACATTTAAAGTGTCCCCAACAACCGTAATGAGTATAACTAATAAGGTGCTCCACTTTATGGTAAAACTGAAGTCAGCCTGTATCATTTTTCTCAAAAATGAAGCTGAAGTACAATAACAATATCCAATTCCAATACCCGGCAAAATTCTAACTTGTCACATTTCAAATAATAACCAGTAATATAAAACTACTCTTGAGTTGGGTAAATACCACAATTTTGCGGTGATAACTATGACATATAACAGCTGATTCGTGACGTCACGGATCTTATAACCAAACTGATAACTACACTCGCTTGAACGGATTGGTAAATACCAACCCAAAATGGTAAATACCATTTCGATGTGGTTATCCGCTTGAATTTGATTAATATCCAATACCCGGCAAAATTCTAACTTGTCACATTTCAAATAATAACCAGAAATATAAAACTACTCTTGAGTTGGGTAAATACCACAATTTTGCGGTGATAACTATGACATATAACAGCTGATTCGTGATGTCACGGATCTTATTACCAAACTGATAACTACACTCGCTTGAACGGATTGGTAAATACCAACCCAAAATGGTAAATACCATTTCCATTTGGTTATCCGCTTGAATTTGATTTTAGTCTGCAACACAGGTCTGCAATGTAGGCAATAATATTGAATCGGATATAAATCTAGTTAAACTTGTGGCCCTAGTAAAGATAACATGGCCACGCAAGGCAACTCTTGAAATATACTCTACTAAACTATCCGTAGCGAAATTTTTCTCGAAATCGTTGCACACTGCTTGAAAAATGCAAATGAAGATAGGAAAACTGCCACTTTGACGTTCTAAATGAGTCCCGTCGTCCGTCGTTGCCCCGGGATAGACATACGATCTTGTCACCTAGATTTCGGCGTTGCCAGCTCATCGAACAATTTTGCTAGAATGTTATAAAAAAATAAGCTTTGGATAAAATATTGAGGATACCAATGGGCATTTTTATAAATTCCCAGTTTTATAGGATAAAATACTTTTTGAATACTTCTTCCAACAATTGGAAAAAAACAATGTTTTATTATATAAATAAATTTATGAACTATTTGATATAAAATTACAAGATCATTAATAGGAGAAGCACGATTTTCATTTTCTCTGCTCTTTATTAGGGAAATATGGTTTTTTAGTGACTGCATTCGCACTTGGGCGAGGAAAAGCCCTAGAAAACCTCAACTGTCAGTGTTAAGATTAGTTGTATCAAATGAAGGAAAACTAAGTCATTCCACAATTCTGGCTTCATTAGTACAATCGAAAATCGCCAGCATGCCACAGTTATTAACCTAAAAAAAAGTGGCATTGAAGGAACGGTTTATACGGGGGTCATTAACCAGAACGCTCTAATAGTTCGACATAAATGGTTTGAATGTAGCGAATCTAAAAAATCGCACTATTTCGATACTGTCATAGCAACAAGTTTACATAATGTGTCTGCACTATAAAGACCTGAAAACCCTCCACCCCCCCTCCCGAGCCCCACACGCAGCGCGATGCAGCAGAGCGGTACTCGGAAACATATTCTTCGGAAGAAAGAGATTAAGTTTTGTAGCACAGTTTTTAAATAAATGTGAAAGTCAAATGAAATATGTATTTAGGTGAATGATCTTGAAGTGCTTGTTTCTGGAAGAAGGCTCCTCAACATAGCAAATTAGGTAAATAACTTTACATCTTTGACATCGCTACCATCATATACATATATATACTAAGTGACATATAAATCCGAACACCCAGTTTAAATGGTTTTATTTTAATAAAAGTTTGTATAAGTACTTAATGAAGCATAATAAGTAAATGATAAAAATTTCAAAATGATTGCACTGCTTTAAAGCCCTTTGACTTTTAATAATGTGTGGATGCACCCTGATGTGCTACGCATTCTCCAACACGCCTAGGCATGCTTCTGATCAGGTGGTCAATGTCCTCCTGTGGTATCTCATTCCAGGAAACCACCAACTCCTCTCGAAGTGCTTCTAGAGTCTGAGGAGGACGTTGCAAATTGAGCAATCTCCTACCCATCATATCCCACACGTGCTCAATTGGGGATAAGTCGGGAGATCTTGGTGGCCATGGTAAGAATGTGACATCAATATGTTGAAAGAAGTCTATTGTGACTCTTGCAACATGTGGTCGGGCATTATCTTGTTGGAAAGTTGGATCTGCCAGGGTGTCAAGATAGGGTAAAAGATGGGGTTCTAGAACTTCGTGGATATAACGCTGCGCGTTCATGTTACCTCTGATGAAGATTAAAGGTGACCTGGAACCATAAGCTATAGCACCCCAAACCATAACTCCAACAGTGTGATGAACATGTCTTTCAACAAAAAACTGTGGATTCCTCCTTTCACCACGTCGCCTTCTAACCCTGGCACGACCATCGTGCATGCCTAAACAAAATCGAGACTCGTCACTAAAGACAATACTGTTCCATTCCTGATCCCAGAGTGACCGTTGTCTGCACCACTCAAGGCGATTACGTCGGTGTTCTCGAGTTAAAGGGAGGACCCAGTGTGGCCGGTATGAAAACAAGCCAAAACTTCTCATTCGTCGGTAAACACTTCGCATGCCAATAGGTCTTCCGTGTTCTGCAAACCATTCATTTGCAATGCACCTGGTAGTGGAGAAACGGTCCCTTAAGGCCAATAATCTTAGGCGGCGATCTTCACGGTCTGTTGTTCTACGGCGGCGTCCAGTGCCCCTTGCTCTTTGCGTACGGCCTTCTCGAAGCCATGCCTGACAACACATAACCACAGTGTCTACACTTCTTTGCACTCTAACTGCAATTGCCCGAAAAGAAAGTCCAGTTTCCCGAAGTCCCACTATACGGCCCCTATCAAACTCACTAAGTTGACGAAATCGTACAGGTCTCCGTACTCTAGGCATCGTAACCGATCGTAAAGGATGTCAAGAACCAAAATCCGCCAACGTTGATTCTTTACTGCGGCTGAAATATATATATATATATATATATATATATATATATATATATATATATATATATATATTGGTTAATAGTATGAAAACTGATGTCGAGATAATTAATTACAATAGCAATCAACGTTACTTCAACAACTTGATTCAGTCATCTCTCATCTCATCCAGACTTGCAAGAGAAAATGTTTGAAAATTTTCAGATCCGTCTCTGTCCTTATGCCTCCGGTTCGCGGTCTTATAGCCGTTTTATGACTATCGGCAAAAAATTTAAACGAATGCAATATCGTTGTCGTGTACTATATTACGTTGTTAAAATCCTCATTTATTTAAAAAAAACATAGGATGTCAACCCTAACACACAAATTATGAGTATGCAAGGCTCACCTAGTTTGCAGCACAAATATCCTGTTTCTCTCAGAAGCTTTGCAAGATAGACATAATTTCCACTTTGGAGACACTTGTAATGTAATTTCACATGATCGACGAGTTATAAGATAAGTTGGATTGAAGTTATCAAGCTGTTCATTTTAGCTTTCTCAAAACGAATGCCTAATATCTCTGCGTATAAGACGGATACTAATAAATAGTAGAGTAAAATAAAAATCTTACTTCTCCTATTAATGATCATGTAATTTTAGATCTAATAGTTAATAAATATATTTATATAATAAAGCATTGTATTTTTTCCAATTGTTAGAAGAAGTCCCTCCGTATTCAAAGAGTATTTTATCCTATAAAACTGGACATTTAAAAAATATTCAGAGACATTAACATTGCTACGCCTGAAATTTTATATATCTTCATTGGTATTCCTCAATATTTTATTCAAAGCTTCTTTTTTTATATAACATTCTATCAAAATAGCAGAGCTGGCAAAATCGTCCGATGAGCTGGCAATGCCGCAATCCAGGTGGCAAAAATGACAAGGTTATCTGTCAAGACGGATGTCTATTCTGGATTACCGACGGAATCATTTAGAACGTCAAAGTGGCAATTTTCATTTGCATTTTTTAAGTGTTGTGCAACGATGTCGGCAAAAATTTCGCTACGGATAGTCTTCTAGAGTGTAGTAGAATACATTTGAACCAAACTGGTTTGTGGCTTTTTGTATGCAAATGAACTTTTCTAAATAAAAGAGCTGTTAGCGAGTACAAAATGAATCTGTAGCGTACAAAAAACAAAACCAAATTTCGCCCTGTCTACTAGGCATTGACGGATCTGTCAAAAATAAAAAAGTACCCTATTTCACGGGTATTCATTACGGTAAAATGACAGCTGATTATCTAGTAATATTTCAAAATTCCCCATATTGGCAAAGGACATATAATTCTGACGGATTCACCAATGCCAAGTCGACAGAGAGAAATTTGGTTTTATTTTTTTGTACGCCTCAGATTAATTTTGTACCTGCTAAAGGCACTTTTATTTAGAAAAGTTAATTTACATATAAATAACAAAACGCTACAAACAAGTTTTACGAGATTTACAGGCGCTTCATTATTGCCAACGTTACAGCTTGTCTGTATTTTTTAACACAGAAATGTCACTTGCTGATCAGCAGTTGACCAGTTGACCTCAATAGACATCAAAGCGCGATGGACTCTCGTGGAATAGGATATTCAATGTCGTCAATTTAGTTCCACAGTTTAATACGTGGCAACGTCGCTGTGCTGTGTGACTTGACGTTCTATTTTTTATCAAATGCTTTTTGTTTTGTTATGGTTATAAAGTGCGAAAGTGGTTTCATGGAAATGTTCTGATCGTCTTGTGTGATAAGTAAAATATTAGGGATATTTCCTGGAAATCTCTGAAACTGCTTGTCTGGATAGCTACACAAGCGAAGGATGAATTGCCTTTTGATTTTCGACCATCTCAACGATATCATTTATACAAAATTTGATGATAAGTTTGCAAAACACATCACTGAGTTTGCTGCAGCTTATGGTTTTCAGTCAGAGGTATACTATTTTGCTATCAGTCAGTTCTAACAAAGTCATATGGATATCATCCCAGAGGTATACCTCGCATGTTTGACAGAACACTTAAAAATAAGGTGAACTGTACATTTAAATGGGAGCAAGTTTTCACACCTGAACTGGTGATCTTTTAACATTATCAATTTTATCAGTGGGTATGATGGTATTGTTTAGCTGAGAGTTTTGAAACTGAGTGTGAGAGACACTTACCTGTTGCCTGCCAGTAAGTTGTCTGGTGACTTTTCTATTGTGCAAAAGAGTCATGGCCTGAACTGAGAGTTTTCACAGTTTACTTTTACATGTATGCCCTCTACTTAGCACTCAGCTCAAGCTTACCTAATGGGTGTGATGGTAGACAAACCACTCCCATACAGCTATGTATGACTACCTCCAGTGACTGTAAAGTGCAGTAATCTAATTCCAAATATATAATGCTGTTAAAGTATGCACTGAATTAATTTGGTCCACTGGAAATTATCATTTGGAATTGTTAGAAATTCTTGTTAGTTTGAACCATATAGTTTTGCAGAAAAAATTATGACTATTGAACACTGCAGGTACAAAGTGAAGGATGTTTGGACAGCAACATAATTGTACAAATGTTCTCCCCAATCATTACCTCACACCGAATCATGAACTGTCAGTTTGGCAATTCCTACACATCTATACAATGTGAAGACAACCTATCTATGCATTTCGATGAGGTAACATGTCTCATATTTCAAATCAATTTATTTCAATATCATGTTCCATTGCAGTATATGGGATATCTTTTTGTGCTTATTGGCAATGAAAATCAACTTTATATGAAAAGGCTGCTTAACGTATGTGTCACTATGGTCAGATACCTTTGTGGCCCAGATGTGTATCAGTGAGTATGAAAGTGTATTTTATTTCATGTGAAAAATATGATTGCAATTTATAGATTGAAGGCAAAGGAAGATAAAACAATACTGTTGAATAATGTTATCGATAGTTGGGCATCCTTGCACCAAAACAATCAGACAACTTTAGTAGAAGCAATAGAGCAGCTGTTCATTAACTCAGACCTAAGTTCCTCAACAATAAAGGCACTAAAAGAATCTGTTGATAAACTGTCTTCTTTCATTGAGTGTAACAGAATTCATGCACTGATTCTAGTACAAAATAAGTTTTTGTCACTTTATTCTAGGTAAGTAATAAACAGCACAATGTTATTTTGATATTTTTGGTCAATACAGTGCTTTTTGATAATGTTCTACCATTGATTAACAGTCTACAAGAATATGCCCAATAATATTTCCATATTTGGATGAATGCCACTTTTTCTTTTAAAGAAAAATGTTTGTTCTTAGACATAACATCAATCTTCCAACGAAAGATCATCCCTCAACCTCCCGCATAATTATTTCTAAAGTTTTGTATTCTCAGAACTTCTCAATGATGGTAAAGGAGTCAATATAACCTGCAGCAACACTCTCAGAGATGGTGGTTGACACATACACTAAAACCAAATTTGTCTGATGGCTTGAGTTCAATGTGTCCAAGAGAGAAGTGTGTATAGACACATATGTTAGAGATAGAAGCCAGCTGGATAGCAAAGCGCATAACCATGTTGCCTAGCAATGGTGACACAGAAGGCTGTGCAATCTGCTGCGTTGCCAATATCATACACCATTCCTTGAATTATAATGCATATTGAAAATATGCGTTAGTTTATTCTTTACGCCCAAATAATGGTTTTATTTTGAGTATACACAATTTTGAATTGTGAATCTGTTTAGGATCGATTCCGGATCGGTACTTGAGAGTGGTTTTTGGAAATGACCAATTCAGTTGTAAGTATAAGTGCACGGCGGCCGTTTTAAAGTCTGCGCTTTCACCTGAATTAGCTGGAATATGTTAATCAATGGTTCAACATTCTGTCTTCAAGTAACAGTAAACCAGCTCTACTTGATGATATTTTTGCCTTATTAGGGCTTTTCAGTCATTGATAAAGCGTATCTAAAGCAGAGTACATAGAATATAAAGCCTTACATCCATCTTAGTAGATGGATAATATCCAAATTGATTATTTTTTTATATATCAATTGCAGTACTAAAATTTTCCAATTTTTAGTCAAAATGCCAAAGAGCTATCTGCTGCTGATATTGTTTTCTCTACAATACTTTGTGAAACAGTGAGGGATAGAACCACAATTTCAAGTTATCAGGTTCTTCTGTCAGGGCCTGAACAGCAACCAAAATGCTTACCACATGTGATGCATATATTGCCACTTTCAGAAGGAATCCATCTCATCTATCTCATAGAAATCGGAAATGCTGCAGTAGCTGCAAGTTTGTATGAGACATTCTGTCATTTACATACAATGCAACAGGCAAGTTGCTAGATTTTGAGTATGTGTCCTGAAAAGTATTTATTAGTAACTGATATTACTTATCAGCTTTGACACTATTCAAATGAGTATTCAAAGGACTCACTTATAATGATTATCTTCATAACACCTATGTTTCTGATCATAAACCTCAAAAGCAGTATTTTCCAGGTACAAATCCAGAGAGAAAAAGAAACTTTACAACCAGCATTTGAAAACCTGGACCTTGCGACCCGCCGTTTGAACGAAAGCCTAAAGAAAACAAAAAATTCGCAAATAGAAAATTCCCACAAGCAGCTTATGAAAAAATGGGATGTGATCAAGAAAAAGTATCAAGAGTATCTGAAAAACGCTTCTGATGAAGCATTACTTAGAGCTGAAACTTTGGCTCTAGGTTTTCTGGAGAATCTGAAAGAATTGCTAAGCTTAACTTCTGTGGATAGTGCAATTTTGCAGTCTTCAGTGAAGAGTGTAAAAGATGTAGCCAATGGGGTACAAGATAAGTTGGCTACTTATGATGAGTTCCTGAAGGCAAAGGGCATCCAGAACTTCTCACTTGGATCATATCCTTTTAAAGCAAGCATGTCTAAGCAATTAAATTGTCAAAGGGAAACTGCACACCTAGCATTAGAATGCATACTTGCCCCTTGTCGAATTTATTTCTCTATATTTGATGTCACTTTTAATTGCTGCATGACTCATATTGGTAGAAGTCTAGACAATGTTGATAATTATATATAATAATAATAAAAATAAAATAATTATAATAATGATCAGGTCTGGTTTTACAAACTAATAATAAACTAATTCATTTATTTTAAGATGGTTAGAAATGAGTGACTTAGCAAAATCTTATAATGTAGGTTATATAGACAGTGGAGTCCCAAAGTGCAAGGGTTTATCCTCTATGCCCGTCCTTTTATTAAATTCCGTTTGATTTTTGGGCATTTCGGAACTCCATCAAGCCGGATCCCTGTGCACAGGCCCCCCTTGTTTTCATAAGGTGAAAATGGAATAGTGCATGCCATTTATTTTTATTACCACTGATGCATGTTTCATTTAGTTTTTCCTTTTTATTTGCTTTTTGGTTATTTTTTTGTCCTTAATGGTCATATACTAGTGATTCCCTAACCGTCAATAAGTATTTGGAAGAGTTCCCGGGATTGGTGCATTTCATCTATATAGACCGCACGACTCATAGGGTTACCACACCAACATTGGATTTCAGTTCAGAAGAGGGAGAATTCACGAAGATTAAGGTAAAGAGAATATTAATTGTATTTGGTTCTATTTCAAATTTTTCAACGTCGACAGTGCCATATGTCAACGTCAACTTTATACAGGGAGGCGTAACATGAGCTTTATGCTTCCAATTATATACAGTATATGGGAAAAACCATTATTATACATTATGATGAGGAAGAGAGATGGAAATATACAAAAGTATGTAGGTGCGTGAAAGACACTCGATTGTAGGATCTTATCTGGCAGCGTCCGAGTGTGACGTACAACGGGGTAAAGTAGAAGAGTGATAAAAGAGAGAGATGGCAGAACGGGCGCTGGCGGCTACCGCTTAGACGGATGCGCTCAACAAATGCGATTCGTTTCTCCCATTCGCAGAGTTGGCGATACCAATATGTCATATTTCTAAGAAATCTAAGTCTACCCAAATTTCGGGAAAAATAGCTGCGGATTCCACATAAGAGTATTCCAAAAATGAAAAAAGTTCAAACTATTAAAATTGTATTAATGTTTCATGGTTCAAATCATATTTTTCATGTTTGTATATTGTTGTATAAATGATTTTGTAATCCCTATTCTTGTTGCCAGTAGAGATACGTATTGAGAGAAATCATGGACCGCTAGATAGGGCTACAACTACCATATAACTATCAAATAGTAGTGATAAACAGGGTTTGTTTATAGCACAGTTGCCTGGTGTGGCGAATTTGCGCCATAGGGGCGATTTGATAACTTTGAAGGACAACTATAACGGTTACTATGGTGCCCGGTATTCGGGAATCTGGCAATACCTGATGATTCCTAACGTTTATTACGCCAGATTGTTTGCTGACTTGCGCAGTACAACATGACAATCAACGTGACTGAGCACCTGGTAACCCTGGTTTAAGGTGTTATATTTAAAGAGCTTGGGGCAGTTAGGTATCTAGGTCACATTTTTTAATGTATTTCGAGAAATCAGTAATGTTGAGTAAATACTAGATCACGTTTCTTGCTTAGTTTGCTGAAAATTCTACAATAGACGTACATTTTGAGAAACAGAGATTTGGTGACGACAAAATCGTAAAAATATAACGCATTTTCGTAAAATAATTTCTTTGTTGAAAAGACTGTGGCTTGATGACCCATTGAACGAGTATAGTGTCCCGCTCCGCTTTGAATATTCGAAACACTATACTCCAGCAGCATTCAGCTTCAATGTTATCTTTATGAAGTTCTAACGTCTAGGCCATGCTGATTAAAAGCTTGAATGAATCAACACTTAACTCTAAATTCCCCACAATTCGGGAAGCTCTACTCAAATTGGCAACACAGCGTATCTGCCTATTATTCTCATTCGTGATACAGGTCTGCGGTTAACGGTAGGAAATATGTACGAATAGCGATGAAAGTAGACGAGGCGATGCGCTGTTGCCAAGAAATGATTTCTCATGTATAACAATGGTTTTTCCTAAGGTGTATAACGCGACCTTGTTTTTTTCTTCAAGAAGTCCTTATAAGTTTGGGATTTCGTAGAGAAGGTTTGGGGAAATTGAAATGAGGCGAGATACGTGCATACCGTCGCCGCTTCAATTTAAACCTTTGTAACAATCACAGCACTGAAATAAGCCACCTGATTCTAAGATGAATGTCACATGATCAGTATTCACTGTATGGATCTCTCAGTGTCGGCATATTTCTATAATTCACTCATTAATAATTACTGATGTTCTAGGTACATGGTCAATCAATCAATAATAATAATTTAGTCGTGTTTGTACACAAAATTGCTTGCACTCATGCAACGTATTAAAAACACTATAAAAAAATAACACATACACTTAAAAGCTCACTAAATCGAATACAAACCCAAAGTAATAAAACAAATAGTCAATAATATTATGGAACAAAGTCGGTAAAATCATTATTTAAAGACTCGTATATGCCATAGAAAGCTTTCCTCACTAAATATCTTTTAACAGTCTGTTTAAAAATGGTCGGGTTGAGTCTTTGACAAACACTGCAGTATACTGTGTAAGGATCTGTTGACCATCCACATTTATCTTCCAGACATTTGTTGATGATACTGATAAAATCAACGGCGCAATCTACGAAACTATGTGCTGTCTGTCCGTATATTTATCTTCGAATCACCGAGTCCCGAAGCGCTACGGGTCGAACTCGAATCTTCGTCGAAGCTGCGTTCACGACGTGTGGTCGAGTATTTGGTCGCCTAAGCGTCGATGTTGTGAGAGTGAAAATTATGGTTATTTGAATACTTCTTGGTACATTATAGATATGGTCTATGGTGAACTTCACAAGAGAGCATGTACAAGAAGGCAATATGTCACTAATGTGGAAAGACAGCACTTTTAATTACGCCTATTTTCTGTGGTTTGAGGATAGCAGTGGGGCTCCTTTAAAACCAGCTAATTTTCCGACGAGTATTTCTCTGTTGCCTGGAATACTGTGTGAAGACTTCTACTAGTAAGTTACTTCACAAAAAAATGCGCTCTATAAACAGTTGAGATAATCATTTTTTCAGCAAACTGAAAGAACTGTGCTTCCCAAAAATGTCGCCAAACAAAATCAGATGTTACGAGTTGTTCTGTATACATTTGGGGTTGGTAACAGCTTCTTGTGTGTTGGAACAAACTAGAAGACTATCGGCCACGATTTGGGAACTTCGCGGACATCCGTCTCATGCTATTGACTTACTATAATTCTTTAATACTAGTGCTGATGGCAATTTGTCCAAAAACTTTGCCAGAGATAGGCTAGTTATAATGTGCAATATTAAGTTACAAATATTCCTGACCCGATAAAATTCCAGATTATTTTTTTTATCCAAAAAATTTGGTATTTTGTATAGATTTTCATTGTATAATCCACTAGAATGCACAGTAGCTTAATCGATATTATACAGGACGTCCCAGATTTAGGATTTCCAAATTAAATTAAAAAATACCATACATTTTGGGGAAAATGTTTAAATTGAAACTGATGCTCCAAATGGTAGGAATTTACCTGTATATTTCAAAGATTATGTCACCCGTTTGCATTGCATGTACTCATGGAACATCTTCAGCCTAGCTTAGCATCAAGATTGATATTTTTCAAGTATTGTGTGGTAAACCGTCGGACCATTTTTTAAAATGCGAGAGGCCCTCAAGCATAATGATAAGTTATGCATTTTCAATTCAATGAAAACATTTTTCTTGAAATGTATATTTTTAATTTAATTCATCCTGTGACGTGACTCGTGGAGAAACACTATGTAATGTTACTATAAAACAATCATAATTTTCTTTAATATGTCGTGTCAATTCTTTTTGAGAAGAACCGATGTGTTTTTCAAATTACCAAAGGGCCATTCAAGTATTACTTAAGCACTAAGGGGAAGGGGGCGGTGGTCTTCGCTTTTCTTATTTTTGATGACATGGGGGATGGTGATGACGTCAGCAAACTTTTTTTTTTCTTCACTAACGGGTATCCTACAAGATTTAGTCGGTTTTTAATCGATAATAGGGAAGAATATTGATATTTACGTCGAGTAAAAGTATTTCAAAATCAAAAATCGGCGCGAGGCTGGAAAACGTACCTGTGCGCGAGACTAGACCGCGTGACGTCTGTAGCCAGACAGTAGAAGTTCAGTCACAGGCATGCCAAACCAAACAGGTACATTTTAGAAGCAAGTCAGTTCAAATCTCTAAAAACGGAAAGTAATGGATGTTGCTGTATCGCCAATAAGAATTCCTGCGCTTGCTAAACAGATTTCAGAGCGGCCAGAAAAACGTTTGCAAGTGGAAAGTCCCGCAATAACAGAAACATCCGAATCCGATTCGTATGAAGCCAGTGGAAGCAGTACTGAAAGTAGTGACAGCGAACTGCCGAGATCGTAGTCATTCTAAGCGCAATATTAGTTAACGTTTAGAACTTGGCTTCATTGCCCATCCCCCGAGTGCAGCCCTAAACTTTGTTATTTTAGTAGCTATAAAATTCTATAATGTGACTGGCCCCCCCTCCTAATTTAAGTATTCCCCAATAGACCCTAAAAAAATAAGATTTTCTCTACATCCCTGGAATTTCTTTGAAAACATTAGGTACCATGCTTTAAAATTATTGTCACGAGCAGGCATTATTATGTCTTAATATTATTAGCTTTCAATAGACTAAAGCAAAGCAGGATCAATTTTTGTGGAGAAATACAAAACAATACTACCCATTGGAGATAAAAAAAAAATAGCTTCATATAGGTACTTACCGAACTACTTTAACACCGCTGCTCTGAGGTTCATCTAAATTTGCATTATTTGACAAAAACTCGTACACCATTTCCACATTCACATGGGGTAAATTTCGCGAATCAGCTTTCTGACAACCTTGGAGCATTGTGCTAGCACAAATAAATAAAGTACACAAACGTTGGTCCCAATTTATATATAGTAAATTCGTATTCGTATACTCTTCACTCCGTATACAAGACGATACAAGATACAAGTACTCTTATGAGGGCGACAGCACGTGTTTGGCTACTGACGTCACGCGGTCTAGTCTCGCGTACAGGTACGTTTTCTAGCTTCGCGTCGATCCTTGATTTTAAAATGCTTTCCGTCGACGTAAATATTAATATTTTGCAGTCAAATTTCTTTGGCCGTTTGTTAATAACAAATTTTTTTAATTAAAATAAGAGAAATACGAAAAATCTCGAACCTTCCTATTGTATTTAATAATTGCAAAAAATCTCCTTACTTAATACTTGAACTGCCCCCAAACATTTAGCAAGTTTCATTCAATTTAAACAGGAGCATTGTTTCTTTTCTTACCTATATACTTATAAATAATATATTTTCTGTGATATTTGTTCATTCCGTTTTATTTTTCCATGTGTATAAGCGAAAAAATTAATAAAACGTGCTAATACAATGTCTAATTTTATTACCAAAGCAAGTCCAAATTAACATATGGTAACTATTCTATATGTATGTACCTGAACATAAAGATGTATGTGTAACCGATGATTAAATAATATGAACACAAAGTCTGGCAAAATCACCGTACCCCTTCCAGAGCGTGATAAGGGTACCGGAAATGCACTGAATTTTACCGTGGTCGAAAATCGGGATTTTTCTATTCCTGTTATTTTTTAACAAAATTGAGCATTGAAGCTATTTAAAAAAATATAATAGTTTTAGTTTTCAGTTTCTTTTAGAAGAACACTATGTTTAGCCATTGATTAACGTATTCCTGAAAGATAGTCAACCTAATTCTATATTCCCGCGTTCAAAAAAGTATCCGAGATACCGTTGCGTCATCTATAAGAATTTGTAACAGCTGTATATTTACTATATACCGGGTGATTCTCCAAGGTAGGCCGCTATAACGTTTTTATTATTGAACATTGGGAAAACGAAATTTGGGGGTTGCATATTATAGATGAATTTACATTTTTGACATATGTATTCGCTTGCTTTGACGTACTTCCGGATTGACCGGAAACGACTCCAACTTTCGATTTTCAAATGGGACACCCTATATATTTTGCTGGATAACGAGCATTTTCGAATATTTTTTTTATGTCATTCAGTACAAAGGCTTTAACTTTCGGCTACTATTTCATATTTGCGCTTATGAACTTTTTGGAAAACAATGAAAATTTTATTTGCAATAACCAGTTAACTGTTGCAACGAACTAGACATACTCATTAGTTCTCATTTGAAAGACTTATAACTTTGAAGGTCTATGGAAAATTTACCCAGAATTTTTTATTTGGAGATGATGGGCTTTTTGTTCACTCTAAATAATATATAAATCCTTCTGTACAATTTGTTTTACTACAGGGTTCAAATTTAGATAGTTAGCCTGATCAGATAAGTTTTGTGACGTTTCTAGATAAAATATTTCAACAGCAGTTTCCCGATTTTTCATCGCAGATTCCACTCCACATATTTTCGAATTGCATACCTCGTGTTGCTGTGTTGTGTTTGAAGTTATACAAAAGTGACTGGATGAAAATTTGAAAAACGAGTTTTGCCAGATTTCAAACTCTTGACTACGTCTTGAAATATATCAACAAACTTTTTTCTGAAATGTGTCTTCTCTAAGGAAATTTTTGATAGAGTTCAAAAGAAATAAAATTGCGTTCAAATTTGAGGGAGTTATACATTTTTTGATCATGATACTGGTACCATTAGATATGCCTTTCTAAATTTCCTCAAAATCCATCCAAGTTATAGAATGACCAATGATTAAAGTAGTTTTTTTTTGACGGTTACTCTATCCTAACAGGACCAATTAACAAAAACTATAAATATTCTTCTGTCTATAATAGAGGGGAAAGGATTATCTGATGAACGCTACAAGTACTGTACTGTGGTCTATTGACTTTATTGAAAAAATGAGTAGCCTGTTTGAATTTTGAGAGATATGTACACCCAAAAAACAGATATACAAAATTTGCAGTCTAGCAAACATTTGACATATATTATCTCAAGTATTGCTTTCAAGTATTAAATTATTACTTAAAAAAACAGATCGCGCAATATTTGCTTGAATGTTTCAAAAAGTAATCTTAGTAGTTTTCCAACAACCCCAAAAATGTGTTCGCAGGTTTAATGAGTTGGGTTCGCCCTCAAATGCTAAATTTGTCAAATGTTAAAATTGCAAAAACCGTGAAACCATTTTCGATCAGGTATAGAGTAAAATTTGTTGCAGATTAGGGACACTACCACGTATTGGAAGGGATACGGCGAATTACCAGTAATCCTGAGCCGCTTTCCACTGCTTTTGAATTGAGAGTTGTAGGCACCCGGAGTGTAACGCTTCGGTACGCGACGATAAAAACCTAACCTGTTTTTTGACGTTTTGCTTTGCGTTGACAATTTGTATCACACTGCCAAACTAACAATAAAAATGTAAACACATTTTGCATTTAGTTTCAGAAGCATTGTCAGACTATCCAATTTATGCCTGATGATGCTTTTCGAATGATGGCGCAACATATCAGAGGTCTGCATTTTTATCGTAATGCTTCTGGATAAATGTGTCGAATTTTCAGTGGCTAGTTATAGATGAAGCCAACTACAAGCCACTGAATTTGCCTTCTTACACTCTCTTGTGATCTTTATTATTCAGGAACATCTCAAATGTACGTTGTGACTCTGGGTCTGGGTTATCAGTTTTTTATCATCCTCCATTGTCGGCTATCGGTTTAATGTGAGTTTAATGCAAACAAAAAATAAAAACGATGAAAAAACATAACCTAACAATCTTATACCCACTATTTGGGAGCGTATAATACCGAAAAAAAGCTAGTGCATGAGGGGATATCAAAAATGAGTAGCTCAGGTGCAAGACACTCTAGAACAGTGGAGCAGTATTGACAGGTGGTGAGCAGCACCGAGTTACTCCGGGTAACACAAATGAGGCACTGAAAAGCGGCTCTGTATAAAACGGTAAACATTTTTGGAAATGTTAAGTAGTGCATGACATAACGATGTGCGTTACTGACGTTTGATTCTATTTTGACAAATTAGTTCAGTCTTATAACTCATATCTGTCAAAACAGCATGAAATGCATTAAAATGAAATTCATAAAATATAAAGTCGCAGTTATTGTGTATTAATTCCAAAAATTAATAAAGCTTTGAAAAATAAAATACCAAAAATTCAAGTTTCATTAGATTCTGAAAAATTTTACTATAAAAGGATCCAGTAGTCTCAGACAGACAAATATTTTTTCTTGGATGTTAATTCCTTGCGTGAAGCTCAATACAAATATTCATGTCCACTTTATATTGACATATTCCTGCTTTACTTCAATCCTAATACTCTTATTTTCATTCATGTCAAAATATGCACTAGTTGGTATTATCACAGAGATATTTTCTATATAGCTTACATTAAACAACAGTCAGTTGTAAGGTGTAAATACATTTTGTACAGAACATCATCAGTGGCCGCATTCATGAGAGCATAGCGCCACTAAAATGCTTCATTTATCCTGTAAAAGCAGTTAAGTTACTTTAGAGCTCTGAGCAGCTAGGTTTTGATGAATGCAACCAATGTTTAGTCTCACCCAAGCCAGCACTTTTCACAATAGTGCAAATATCTGAAAAGGCAAACACTTCTGGGTCGTTGATTGGGAATCATCTTGATTTTTGTCAGAAAGATAGCAACAATCTGAAAAAAAGATGCTTATAATATATAACAATATTTGCGATTTACCGATATTTTTCTAACTATTGCATGTCTACTAAAACAGTCTGATTGACATGATATTTGAACACATGTAAACCTCAGGTGTCATTTTGTAAAATTGTGTTGTTCCAAAGAGACTATGAACAAAACCCACTTTTTGCATCGTGGTTTTGTTCTTTGTTAGTCGATGATCATCCTTACTATAAAATTAAATAAAAATTTACCTTCTGCCAATTCAGTCTGTTTTGGAACTTCTGCGTCCCCGACCTCTGGATTTACCTCGCCCTCTACCTCTAAATGAATTTACTTTTGCCATTTTAGCATTCACGCAGTTACTCGTTGACGGTCCTGTTTCATCTACTTCATTTTCAGGACTGAAAAATATTTCTGGTTTATCTTTTGGTCTGAATTTCTCACAATATCTTAATACTTCCAACAAATTCTCAATTGAGCAATAGACGAGTGGTCCGATAAGTACTTAGCCTTACCGCCCGATGGCGCCACTATTTGGCTATAAAATTTCATCCGAACTGGATTCGTAGTTTTGTTTTGACCGCATGTGGAATCGGGCAAGTCCGCGGATTTTAGAAAAATGGAAACTCTTCTCCTTCCGTGACGACCGTCAAAAATTGTTCGCGCAGACAGAAAGCGTTCCGAGTTCTTTGTAACTAATAGATCTCTATAGTCTCGCAAACACAGCCATACCGCGCCGGTCAGTGTCAACGCTCGCGTTCTATCGTCAGAAATACAATGAACTCGTGGAACGCCTCGTTTTGTTAAATCATTATTTAATTAAACGAATACTAAATAGAAAATGCTTTTATTGAAACAGAAGCCCCATCTGTTTGGATTTTATTTTTTAATGATTGCATCTTAATGATGCACTGCCCCCATTGGAAAACAATCTGTGGGGGTTAATTTTGATAATCCTGGCAGACATACACTTCACCAAAGTGAAACAATTTTTTTTGGCAACAACAAAACTGCTCAGGAAGCTGGTCTATAGTGACACTGTGACAAGCGGCTCAATTTTGTTGAACACAGGGATGTGATCTATATGCAAAATGTTATCTAAGGGTATAAAATGACTAGCCAAAGTGGATCACTTATTGTTACACCTCCCATGCTTATGAAAATGGGCAATTTTATTGTGGTGGTGATACTGCATAATCACTGTGATCACAAGACTTTACACCCATTAACTGCTGTGAATACAAGCAAAGTAAACTTCAATACTCTAAGGAATATGTTAATTCTAAAGAAAATAATGGTTGCAACACGAGTATGTGGAATGAAATAATGGACACCTATACAGGGTGACAGGTAAATAGGTGTAAAACATTTTAGGAGGTGATAGTACAGCACCTTTGCTATCGAAATTAGTATATAATACCATACCCTATATTCAAAGGTTGAAAAGTTATTGAGGATTTAAGATTTTTTTTAAAAACAATCCAGATTTCAGAGTAAAAAAGTCGAGAGAGAAAAAAGTTGGCGATTAAACATTTGTTTTTTGTGGTTTTGGGTTATTATTTCAATAATTAACTATTATGAATTAAAAAAGATTCGAAAACAATACCAAACAACGTATTTATTTTCATTCAAAAATGTTAAACTAAGAAAAGTAAAAGTAAGGTGTTTTACAAAAAAATCAGTATACAAAAAAACGTACCAACAATTTAAATAATATCCTTGTTTCATAAGGAATCTAAATTGATATGATAAGTGCACAAAAACTGTGTGAAACTAAACATAATGTATTGTAATACAACAATAGGGAGTAAATTTACCAATGGCTTGTCTCCTATTTTCACAACTCTCTAATTGATAAGAAAGTGTTTTTGTGAAAAGAATGTAACTGTAAGCTATGGGATAGTTATTATTTTAAATTACGGTTAAGTTACACGATTAGATTATTTACACAGTTGTAATTGTACTACAGAATAATAAAAACTGACTAAAAGTTGGTACAATTGGTAAGTAAAATACAATAATGAAATGAAGGTAAAATTCATTGCAATTGTTGTTCGAACTGACGCCCGCCGTTTCTTATGCAAGCCCGTAGTCTTTTTCTCATGTTGGTAGGCGCGATGCGGCCAGTTAGTTGTCCTCTGATAGTGTCAGCAGCAGCAATAATTCTTTCTTTCAACTGTGCAAGAGTGTCTATGAGCTCAGCGTACACCAGTGACTTCATGTGCCCCCATAAATAATAGTCACACGGTGTTAAATCTGGGCTCCTCGCTGGCCACGGTGTCGGTTCACCTCGGCCAATCCAGCGACAAGGATATTTCTCGTCCAGCCACTAACACCCAGACGGAAATGCGCGGGACAGCCATCGTGTTGGTAGATCGTCTGCATCCTGATATTCAGAGGCAGGTCTTCGAGATACTCCCAGAGTTCGGATCTCAAAAAGTTTTCATAGGATTCGCCATTCAGGTTGTCAGGCAAAAAAACTGGTCCAATTAGATACGTATGAATGATTCCCATCCACACGTTTGCCGAAAATCTTCTTTGATGGGCTCTTGGCTTTGCCATGTGGGGATTTGCCTCTCGTGGGGCCCAATAATGTAAGTTGTGATAATTTGTTGTCCCCTCTCTATCAAACTTAGACTCGTCGTTCCACAATATTTTAATTAAATAGTCGTTTTCTTCTTGATCCTGATGAAGCATGTATCGACAAAAATCAATTCTTCTTGCGGGATCTCCTTCTTCTAATACTTGAACTGGTGTGTAATGGAAAGGGTAAAGTCTCGCCGAATGCAAAACGAACCAAACTTTCCACTGAGTTAAACTAAGCTGCTTTGCTATAACTCGTGTAGACGTCGTCGGGTCTCTGCCGTAGCATTCCAGTATTGCCTCTCGATCTTCGTCGTCAAACAACCGAGGTCTACCAGCATCATGACGTCTCTCATGAACCCGTCCACTTTCCTTGACGCGTTGGTACACAGAAGCAAATACTCGGTTACGGTAACTCGCCATTATTAAAACTGATAAAAAAAGTAAAAGTACGTCCTACCGCGTTAAAGGTTGATATTCTACTAACTAAACTAAGCGTTAGTTCCCTTTCCTTGATCCGTCAGCTGTGTCAATTCATAACACATGCAGAGCTTGCTTCCGAGGAGCGACGACATATTCCGAATACTTAAACCCGAATAACGGCACAGGGCACAAAAAATAACAAAAAGGGTCAAACCATGAAAGGCTCGGTTTACCTGCTCAGTACAATGAAATGCCCTTAGCTGTCCTTTCCAGCAAAGTAATATTGTTTTGCTAAATGGTTTACTTACTGATATGTTATTATACCATTTTAGAAACCTAATGAAACGAGGAAGTTTTTGCAGTTATTTGTACATTTTCTTTATTATGATTTTTTTTAAAAAAAAAGACTTCTTAATGTGAAAGTTGAAAATAAAAATTTTCATTTAACATTTAAATGAAAATAAATACGTTTTCAGTAGTGTTTTCCTTTTTTTTTTAATTTATGAGAATTATTTATTTAAATAATAACCTGAAACCACCAAAAAAAGAATGTTTAATCACCAACTTTTTTTTATTTCAACTATTTTACCCTGTAATCTGGGTTGTTTTTTAAAAAAAATTAAATCTTCCATAACTTTTTAACCTTTGAATTTAGGGTATAGTATTATATACTAATTTTGATAGCAGAGGAACTGTACTATCACCTCCTAAAATGTTTTACACCTATTTACCTGTCACCCTTTATAATGGTTTTCATTTCCAATAAACACATGCTTCCTCAATCCTAAATTGAAATAATAAATCCAAATTATCTGTATTACCTTATACATTCCTCAACCTCAGCCTGAGAGTTTAACACCTTCAATCTATTCACTTCTTCTTCCAGCTCAAACAGCTCTTGTTCCGCTTCAGCTAATTCTCCCACGATATTGTCAATATGCTTGTGTACAGCATTCTGTATTTTATTGATAACAACCAGACCTTGCGTTGTTTTTCTGTCAATTTTTAATCCTTGTAAGATTTTATTGAATATTTCTGATGTAGGTTCTGGATCTTTATATGATGTTTTGGGCTCACTCAGATTTGGTATTCGTATAGGAGTCTGTTCATATGTTGACCTGTTGTATCTAAGGAATATTTGAGAGAAGGAGTGTGTGGACTTGTTGTCAGAAACCTCATTAATAAGCATACAACATAAGAACAGTTCTGGTTGTGCTCCAAAAAAGTTAAGCAACTGCTGGTGAATCACTTTGTCCCTTAAAGTTAACCTAAAAAATGAATGACATTGTAGTTATGCAAGTATCCCTTAATAAGCGCAGCAAAGATTTGGACATTTAGATATGTATAGATGAAAAAAAAATGAAGCAAGTTCCTAAAATTTTACAGCTAGTCATGAGTAGGCAGGTTCCCTGGCCTCTAATGGGGGATATTTTATAGGACATCTGTGAGTTAAAATGTTCTGTTAAAAAAGTGGAAAAAAGTACGATATCAGATCACAATAGGCATGGAACTACTGAGCTTCTATTAGGTACAATGTTAATATTACAGTAAAGTATTTACTTATATTTATACTCATTGAAATTGGACCCACAACAGATTTGAGTGTAGCATCCCTGTTCTCAGCTCTCTGTTCTGTGTCTGAAGGACAAATGAGAGCCACTTTTCAGGGTCTCTTTGTCAGTCGGAGTAACTCAGAGCTACCCACCACCTGTTAATACCATTCCAGTCCTCTGAGTTTCATGTACCTGAGCTACTCATTTTTGAAATCTCCTGCCCCCCTCACACCAGGTGTTATATGCTCCAAAATAGTGGGCATAACGAAAATGATAATGTGTCAAGATTGTTAGGTTATATTTTTGTTTTTTGCATTAAACCAACACCAGATGATGGAGAATGGTAAAAAACTGATAATATTATGACCCAGACTCACAATGTCCATTTGAGATGTTCCTGAATAATAAAGATCACAAGAGAGTGCATGAATGCAGGTTCATAGTGGCTTGTAGATGGCTTCATCTATAACTAGGCACTTTGAAAATATATATATATATATATATTGTGAACTCAGATTGTGAATGTCTACACTAAAATATGAATTCGACACATTCATTCAGAAGCTTTACAATAAAAATGACATATTGAGCCATCATCAGGCCATGCACATTTGTTAGAGCAGTTCAGGAGCATCATACTCTGGGTGCATACAACTCAAAAGCACAGGAAGGCAGTTGAGTAATAATCATGGGCATAACCAACAAATAGCTGTTGTTCATTCACCCAAAATTGCATTTTGTCAAAGCCCCAACAGTCTGGGTAACCTAATATAATGATTGAATGCACATTACCTATAGTTAGATAGACGCTGAAACTTGTACCATCCTATAACTTTATCAAACTGATCTCCAAGGAATTCTCGAATTTGATTTTTGTTGATCTTCCCTGTTTTGTTATAAAAGTAGTGCGGATGTGGGCATGGTACCACTGAATGTAGTTTGATGTTGTTTGTTATGTTTATTTGCTGCTGATCATTGTCTGTGATGGTTCTAGTTTCTCGGTGCACCACTTCCCCTAAAAGAAACCCCTCCTGGAAGAAAAGTGAGGTTATGTAAGGATGTTTATAACAGTCCAAAAACACGTACCTGTTGGAACTTGCTTTTACTGGTTTCAAAAAGTAAAAACGAGAAAGCAGGTCCCGATAACGTAACAGAGGCTGGCGTGGACATATTTTGAAAAATAAAGAACAATCCACTCAAAAACCAAAAAATGACAGATCTTTGAAGGCGTCGGTTAAGATGTCGAATTTGACATGTGAGAATTTGAGTAGTGATGCGGTTATGCCACGAAGACTTTAAAAAAGAATCGTTCATCTTAGGAAATGATTCAACTGCTTGTAATGCGGGTCCCACACGATGCTTCCAACGTTGTTTGCAACACCTCTCAATTGGCAAGTGTGTCTCCTACACAATGGAATGAACTGTTTAGTCTCGGACGTTCAACGCATGGTGGTGCCACCGTCTATTACACTGATCAACAGCCAAAAAATATCCTAAATAAAATCAACAAAATATTACTATTTTTAATGTGCTAAAACCGGAATGAAACTTATTTTTTCAATATTAGTTCAAGTTTTAGAGATATGGTTATATGTGTTCCTGCTGTGACAGTGTTAATATGCTGTAATTCACAAGAATGCACGTGCTACATTTTTATATTCGGCAAGGAAAGATGATGTAATCGGCATGATTGTGTTACGTTATACATACGTGTACATTATATTGTTTTATATTAGCCATTTTTTCCTCAGTTGGCTGACAGCGTTCATGCAAGATGTCTCGAAAGTGTGTAAACAATCCAGATCAGTTTTGTTACGTGTGTGGTGATTTGACTTTTGCGTCTCAGAGACGGTCTATTACTCCACTAATAACAAAGGCATATCAGCTTTATTTCGGTTGTAAACTAGGTGATCAAGACAAACAGTGGGCACCCCACGTCTGCTGTAATACATGTGCTTCAAGTCTGAGGAGCTGGTTAAATGGCAAAAAACGGTCTATGCGCTTTGCTGTCCCAATGGTTTGGAGAGAGCCTACAAATCATATTAATGATTGTTACTTTTGCATGGTACCTTGAGTTGGACAAGCCACAGGCATGTCCAAGAAAAAAAAATCGGTTATTAACTACCCAAACATACCATCTGCGATGAGACCTGTGCCTCACAGTGACGAAAATCCTATTCCGAAAGAATCCTACACTTGCGAATCAGAAAACAAATCAGATCATGGCGATCGAGTGATTCGTCAGGAAGAAGATATGCGATCAACGTCAAGAGATCCAGATTGTATACCGAGCACGTCATGCAACCAACCGCACAAAATAACACAGTCAGAATTAAATGATCTTGTAAGAGATTTAGAACTTCCAAAATGTAAGGCAGAGTTACTTGGATCAAGACTGCAGCAGTGGAACTTGTTAGAAGATGATATTTCGGTACGTGTTTTTCGTAAACGCCACAAAGACTTAGAACCATTTTTCAATATGGAGAATAACTTGGTTTTCTGCAGTAACATTAACGGCTTACTGGCGGCTTTAAATATAAACTATAACTCAGAAGAATGGAGATTGTTTATAGACAGTTCAACATTGAGTTTAAAGGCTGTGTTATTGCATATTGGAAATATTTTACCATCTCTTCCTGTAGGGTATGCAGTTCACATGAAAGAATCATATGACAATATGAAGTACCTATTGACATGCATAAAATACGATGAGCACCAATGGCATATTTGTGGCGATTTGAAAGTTGTTGCACTTTTACTTGGGCTGCAGCTAGGCTACACAAAGTTTTGCTGTTTTTTATGTGAATGGGACAGTCGGGCAAAGGCACTTCATTACACCAGACAAAACTGGCCTGTTCGTCAATTCCTAGAGCCAGGTCAAAAAAATGTACAGCATATGCCATTAGTAGATTCGAAAAAAAATTTATTACCACCACTGCATATCAAGTTAGGCCTAATGAAAAACTTTGTCAAGGCATTAGATAAAGATGGGTCAGCTTTTCAATACCTGCGTCAGAAATTTCCAAGACTAAGTGAGGCAAAGGTTAAAGAAGGTATTTTTGTTGGGCCACAGATTCGAAATATTTTGAAAGATACACAGTTTCAAAACACTTTAATAGGTATTGAAAAAACTGCTTGGAATGATTTCCGTCTGGTGGTCACTAATTTCTTGGGAAATAGAAAAGCTGAAACCCTTGTCAAAAATATGCTGTCATCATATCAAAAGATGGGCTTTAATATGTCTCTTAAGATACATTTCCTACACTCACACCTGGACTTTTTTCCTGACAATTGCGGAGCCGTAAGTAATGAGCACGGCGAACGTTTTCATCAGGATATTTCAACAATGGAAAAAAGGTACCAGGGAAAGTGGAATCCTTCCATGCTTGCAGACTACTGTTGGACTCTTGGTAGAGATGCTCCAGAAACGATCCATAAAAGAACAGCAAAAAGACAGCGCATATAGTGATTCTTATAAGTATATGAATCTTGTTACTTTTTTTAATATATCCTTAAAAATAAAAAGTTTTTTTTTCTAAACCGCAACTAATTTTTTTATTTCATTGTCATTTTTGGATTCAGCGCCCCAAAATTAACAAAGAAGTGCACTTTTCCCACAAGATACAATTAAAAAGCTAAAATTTGTTGTCCAGTGTTATCGTTGTCAATGCTGCGCTTGAACCTTTACAACTGAAGGAGAAATTATACAAAATTAACGAGGAAACAATTTTTTCGAGTGCCGAAAAATAATTTCAGGTCTGTCCTCAGCGACCAAAACATAAGTCTGTCAGAAGCCTTAAAAATATCGAAAAATGAAGTTTGACGTTTTTTTGTTTGTTTTTCGACTATAGCTCCACCGCCACTTTGAGATATTACTAGATAATCAGCTGTCATTCTACCGTGATAGATACTCGTGAAATATGTATCGATGGCTAAAAACTGATCAGTAATGGTATTTCTGAAGGTGATGCATCAGCGTTTTCAAAAAGTATCGTCAGACTTGACCCGACGATACCAGTTACGTAAGTAAAAATGACGATAGCAGTTAAGGGTTAAAACAAGACACAGTGGTTTACGTATATTGTATATTAATGACATTCATAAAATATTTTCACAATTATATGAATCATTGCTTCCATAAAAAACAATGCATTAAGTATCTTAAAATATAAATCGTTTTTTTTTCTATATACAAACAAAAAATAATATATAAGTAATTTCAAAATCACATATGTAAACAGCTGAGAATCATCTTATGCACAGCTAGTTCATAATAATTCGTTGGGTGGCATATGCAGAAGTCTAATCCTAATAAACAAACTGGGAAAGTACAAAATTGTTTCAGTAATTGTTTATATTCTGTGGATGGGAGCAAACATTCACATCCTAGAAAAAAATAAATTAGTCAATATTCATATTGGTCAATTCTGTTGCTTCAGCAATTTTGAACTATAATCATTTCCTAAATGTTTTATTAGTTTTTTTAAGCCATTCTGGAAACAGTTTTGAACTAACAGCCGAAATGACAACTAAAATCGCGTAACAACTCACTGAAACAGTTTGAACAATGAACTAAAGTTTATACCTTGAACTAAAGTATGAAGCACATACATCAAATTAGTTTGACTAATGGATATGTACTACACTCGAAACAATATCTAATAGTCCAAAGTACAATCAAAAATACAAAAGTACTATCATCATATTTAGAAAAATAGTTTCTGAAGTATTGCACCTAAAAATAACTTAGGCACAATCTGAAAGTGACATTACTGTTATTCGTTCTTTTTATCCCACACGAACGCTAAAAAAAATGCAGTCTATCAGAAACATAAAATCTACATTGAGATTTGGAACATTTTTCAGATATCAACAAAAAAAATTCATGAGTAAACACAACTTAATTCAAACTATTGAAAAATTACAATTCCGTAAAAACTATTTTGATTCTGATGTAAACGAAAATCAGGTTGATAAAATTTAGCACATATGTTGGTTGATGTAGCAGTAATTTTTGAAACTAGACATTTATCTATCTGATAGTATGATCCACTAAAAGTACTTAGCAACACAGGAAACATTGCATTTCAAGATATATATCGCCTTTTCTGTCAACACCTTTAGCCTACTTCCTCATTCTTAGTAGAACAAAAGGTCGATAATCGTGCAAAACTTTATCAAATTCGAAAGACTTGTGCGAAATACATGTATTGTCCGCTAATTATTTAGCATATAGTCCCTTATACTGCCTTTGCAAAAAACGTTCCAAATCAGACACTTTCTCTTCCACATGGTTTACTATTTCACTCATACCATTCACTACATTTATGAAAGGAACGCTGTTCTCATCCTCCGGATATTGATGATTTCCATAAAAAATTCAATTGTAGTTCTTGATTATTAGGAAATAAGTAATCACTTGAAAATATATAATAAAGTAGTATACAACTACATATATGGTGAAAATGGCAACGTTGACCAATCGATAATAGTAACAGTGTCATGTAATCTTCAAAAGTAACTCAATATTGCCGATCCTTATGATTGTCGTATATTACTGTCTTATATACGAAAACCGTCTCCAGTTCAACATTAAGTCATTGTCCTTTAGCATCAGTACAGCGTCCCGCGTTGCGAAATAAGGATTCAACTATCGGTTGCACTGTAGGATTTCAGCTGGCGCAGATATCCGCGCAGTGTTGCCAGCTTCCTGTTAAAGTCTCTTGCCAGTTGTTATGTCGTTCGGGCGCATCTGCGTTCTTTTTGCAACCGCGAAGCGACAGCTGCCACTAAAGCCGCGCCTCTACCACTGCCGTCTTCCGACAGCATAAGATTGAACTGGAAAAACACTCAATTAATAAATCGTCAAATATACAGTAATGGACAAAAGTATATAGACAAATATTGTGCTGTATTTCTTTTTTAGCTTGTTTTATTAATACACCAACCTGTATATATAATTCTTTATAGCATAATACTCACTTATACATAAATAAATTCATTAGACTCCCTTCAATAGAAAATTAGTTAAAAAAAACTGGAACTATGAAGGACAAAAATATATAGACAAAGCAAAACAATTATCGAAAAAAGAAGCAAAGTTCATTGAATCATAGAAAACCAACCATGTTTGTGTTAATATTTTGTACCATTTTATCAATCACCGCCTGGCATCGTCTCGACATAGATTGTAGAAGTTTCTTGATATAAGATTCATCAATCTGCTTTTGCTCTAAAGCGGCAAAAAGTTCATCCTTGTTTTAATAATTTTTATCTCGCATTTGATTATCTAAGTATTCCCATAGATTTTCAATGGGGTTTATATCGGGAGACTGTGAAGGCCATTTGAGAACTGGTATTTTTTCATCCAGAAAGAATTTTTTTGCGATTTGAAGTGTGCTTTGGGTCATTATCTTGCTGGAAGATTGATTTTAAGGGCATATTGTCTTCCATATAGGGTGACATGATATGCTTTAGTATGTCTGTGTATACAAACTTATCCATAATGCCATCTATTCTATGTAAAGGGCCCATCCCAAGCCCCGAAAAGCACCCCCAAACCATAACAGACCCGCCTCCATGTTTGACAGTGGGCAAAGTGTACGTGGGGTTCAATCTTTGTCCACTAGGACGTCTAACGTAATGAACACCATCTGATCCAAACATATTGAACTTGGATTCGTCACTGAAACATACCCTCTTCCAGTCACAGATGCTCCAAACCAGATGCAACCGTGCAAATTGTAATCGGTCCTTACCGTTTTTACTCGAGATTAGCGGCTTCTTACTCGGGCGACGTGCAAATAACTTCAAATCATTTAATCTTCTACTTATAGTTTTCGTAGAAACACTGACAATTCCTTTTGTCTCGATTTCGGATTTTATTTGTCTTGGGGTTTTAAACGGATCTTTGGACGAAATTACTTTTATTAATCTAACTGATCTAGCAATTAGTTTTCCAGGCCGATCACTTCTCTTAGAGGCTTCCAAGATACCTTTTTGTTTATATTTGTTCAATATTGCCCAAACTGCTTTACGCTCCAGCTTCAAATTTTTGGCAATGTCAACTTGACGTTGACCATCTTTATATATAACTCAATGATCTTAGTTTTCACATCGAAAGAAATTTCTGGACCACGCGACATGGTCTTAAAATCATTCAACTTATTCCACTATACTTGATGAATACAAACTAATCCTGTTCTGACACGAAACTGTACTAAACTGATGAAAAGAATTTGTCTACATATTTTTGTCCCTCATAAAAAAATGCTTATATTCAAACTTGTATTGTGTTCATTGCAGATAATGTAAAAACAAGGAATTTAGTTTTTCTACTAATAACGCATTTGTTTATGAAGCAATGAAGTATGAATTCGTTTTCTAAAGGTACTTAGGTAAATATTCATATTTGTCTATATACTTTTGTCCATTACTGTATGTAGTTATACGTGAATATGCAAAAAAGCCTTTTTCAAAAATTGTGGAGAATCCCGAAGGTATCATAACAGGTCTATGGACGTCACCTTTAATTAGTAATAATCGTATTCGGCTCACCTGAATGCTGGGATCGACCAGCTCTCGGATTTTCTCCATCATGAGGTTGTGGAAGTGCGGGTGATACCTGTAAACGGATCCGTCCACTCCTACCGTGACGCTTTTCTCGCCCATCTTGTTCAGAAGTGTGGCTAGTCCTGCGGCCACCAAATGCGCTGACCGCCTTGAGATGCACTCGCAGATGTATCTAATGTTCACGTAGTCTTGTTCAGAAGCATGCTTCAGGCCTGTTCGAAAATAGAAATCGAATTACAATGCATATAAAATACAATAGCTATACCTTATTCGTAGACCGTTTACGCCCCGGCACAACAAAGATGCAGCGAGGCAAAGCGACAGCCGCCTAAGCGTTGCTGTTGATATTCGGGGCATACACAGCGTGTGTTTATATTTAAGCATGTCGTCTACGGATATAGCAGATGAAACTGAGAATATTTCTCCAAATGCTTCCTTTTCAGTGATGTTTCCTCCCCGAAAACAATTTTCATCATTGTTAAAGAATATAAAAAAAAACAAAAAATTGTCTCCACCACAAAAGAGTCTGCATTATACGAAGCTGTTGGATACAGTTGATAACTTTGATCGGAGTGCCATCAGACGCAAAGTCCATCAATTCTTTGAAAGGCAGGAACTCCCCACCATAGACAAAGTATTACAGGAGGTTAATAGTGATGAAGACTTACCTACTTTCAAAAAGCCCAAATTCTATAGTTTACTCAGAGAACTTCATTTTGAGTATAGAAAACGGGGCAGAAATAGTATTTTGATGGACAGCCAAGAGATTATTTTATGGAGAAGAAATTATTTAAAATCAATAAAGAAATACCGCGACGAGGGCAGGAAGATTTATTACTTGGATGAAACCTGGAAAAATGCAGGACATACAAAACATGGGCTCACTACATGGGCTGACTCTACAATTAAATCAGCAAGACAAGCCTTCTTAGATGGACTAACCACTGGCCTAAAGAATCCGTCAGGTACGTGTATCTAAACAATTCGTCATTTGTCTTGAAAAAATGGTGTTAATCTGTGAGCCCACGCTGAAAACTTAGCAACACTAAACTTAGCTACGTCTGGTAGATTTTGAACCAACACCTGTTAGATACTCTGCTTGTATTATCATTAGTTTTAAATACTATATGAAATAATTATTTCCAGGAAAAGGAAAACGATTTGTTTTCTGTCACATTGGCAGTGAAGATGGCTTAGTGCCCACTGCCCTACGAGCATTTGAGTCAAAGAAAACGACCGACTACCATGAATATATGGCTTGAATAAACGCTCCCAAAGCTTGACCACAATGCCGTCATTGTACTTGATAATGCTGCATACCACACTAGAAAACACCCCACAATGTCCACGAGAAAGGCAGAAATTCAACAATGGCTCCTATCAAAAGACATTAGTTTCAATGGAAATATGTTCAAAGCAGAACTTATCCATATAGTCAGGTAGCACAAATACAAATATAATCTTAATGTTATTGATGAAATGGCTAAAAACCAAAATTAGACATTTTTAAGGCCACCCCCTTATCACGGCGAATTAAATCCCATTGAAATGATTTGGACAATTATAAAAACTATATGGCCTCAAATAATAGATCATTCAAATTTTCCGAGGTGAAAAACTTGTTAATGAAGCTGTCAACAGAGTGACGGCAAACCATATTATCCATATTGCATGCGTCACGTTCAAGGGACAATCGAAAGAAAGATGTGGGATCTGGAGAATATGATCGATATTCAAATTGAACCTTTAATAATGAATATTAACCATTCGGACGATGATTCAAGTACTTCCAGCGAATAAAGAATTGTGAAAAGTATGTGCACTTCTTTCTATGAAAATAGACCATTGAGGAAAATACGGACCTGTACAATCTCGTACTTGTACTATTGGCAGAAGTGAATCTGTTGATATGCACTAGCAAATCAGAACCATTTACACAATCATTGAATGAACTTTACTCAATCCCTATAATCAAATCCAAGCGAATAACCAAAATTTCTGTGTTATGTGCCGCGGTTATAATATGGTTCAAGATGACACACGGGTTGATGACGTCAGTTACACGAATCGCTTGAACGCGTTGGTTTTAACCGCGGTTTTGTTGCAAGTTGTTTATTTTATAAAAGCGCGTATATAATCTCTGATTATTTTTATTATCACTCAATAATCGGTTCTTTTTCGTCTACAACTGTATATGGAAAAAACTTTCATAATATTCATGGGAGAAATGTTTTTTCAGATTTTTTTTTAATGATGGAACCATGGCTTTGTAGCTATGATAACTTTCAATTTTCTAAATTTTTCCGCATGTCAAAGAAAACATTTATTGATTCAGCAGAAATGATGAAAAAATAAATTAGCAAAACCGTATACAGGTGGATATCATCTAGTGAGTTTATATGGCCATATTTTAATATTCTTGTGGTATATGGCTACACAGGATACTTTGTTAATCATAGGAACTACATTTAAAGTGTCCCCAACAACCGTAATGAGTATAACTAATAAGGTGCTCCACTTTATGGTAAAACTGAAGTCAGCCTGTATCATTTTTCTCAAAAATGAAGCTGAAGTACAATAACAATATCCAATACCCGGCAAAATTCTAACTTGTCACATTTCAAATAATAACCAGAAATATAAAACTACTCTTGAGTTGGGTAAATACCACAATTTTGCGGTGATAACTATGACATATAACAGCTGATTCGTGACGTCACGGATCTTATAACCAAACTGATAACTACACTCGCTTGAACGGATTGGTAAATACCAACCCAAAATGGTAAATACCATTTCCATTTGGTTATCCGCTTGAATTTGATATATGTTTAAAATTTAGGAACGGCCATTAAAGGTTATACTGATTGATTTGTTCTGACTTCAAAACTATTATTTGTTGTCACTTTTGACATGTTTAGTCATTGTATACACATTGTTGATTGATATATTAACTGCTAAAACTTACCTAATTCTTCACAAACGTCGATAAGGTTGTTGAAAACACCTGGAGGGTCACTCTCAATTTCTGATACATATTTCGTGTAAAATCTACCCCTCTCAAATAGCATATCAGAGCCTTTCCCGCCAAAGAGCAGATTTTCTTTCGTAAACCTCTGCAGTGCCAGTCTTACCAGCTCTCCCATGTACATTCCAGAGATCATCTTTTCATGTCTAGAACAAAACAGTTTTTCATAATTTATATAAACAAATAAATTCATTAATTTACTATCTATACAGGGTGTAAACGTTATGGTCGTCATTATTGAAATGGATAACAGGGAGGGGGGGGGGGGGGGGGTCAAAACAAGTCAAAAAGTTCCTATGACCCATGGTCCAAAAGTCAATAGATTTTTGTCTAAATGGCTTTATAGTTTACAACTTTAAGTGCTCATATCGACCACAATCACCCCCATCTTACTAAGTAAGTAAGTAAGTTTCATTAAATTGAATATTTAAAACACACATGACAACAGCGCGTCGGTTTTTTATTACTCTTATCGAACCGGCAATCGATCGCAAACGGTAACAGTGGTTAGTATGTTGTTTTGTTTTTGTTCGCGTAAGTCGTCGTGTTTATTATTACAATGTTCTCGATTCAAGAGTTCGCCGACATGTTGTTAGTTTACGGTGAAGCTCTTCAGAATTCAAATTTTGCAGCTCAAATATATCGCGACAGGTTTCGCGAACTGGTACACCCAGACAGAAGGACATTTGTGCAAGTGTACCAAAGACTTAGAGATACAGGAAGTGTTCAGCCTACTAATATTCGCACTCGTGAAAGACAGGTTACTGTAGAGCAGGAGGAACAAATTTTACATATCGTGGAAATCAATGCAGATATCAGCACTCGGGAATTAGTCCGCCGCGTAGGACTATCGCATACCATAGTCCATAGAATCCTACGGGAAAATTTCCTTTATCCCTACCATGTACAACTATTGCCTTGTGACCAGAAGACTATCCTTGCAGATTAACATTCTCTCAGTGGTTTTTGCACAAAAACATTGAAAATCCGGATTTTTTTAAAAACATTCTAGCGACGGACGAATGTACTTTTACGCGAGACGGGATATTAAATTTCCATAATACTCACACGTGGGACCAGAACCTATCAGAACTTTTGGAACAGATCTTAGACAACATGCCATTACAAAAGAGACAGAATTTTTGGTTTCTTCATGACGGGGCACCATCACACATTTTTAGAGGCGTCATTCAGTTTTTTGAATGAACATTATCCAAATCGCTGGATTGGTCTAAATGCTCCTGATCCTCGAAAACGGCCATCAAGATCTCCTGCCCTAAATCCGATGGATTTCTGGTATTGGAGAGAACTTAAAGGGATGGTCCAATAACAACTGAAGCACAACTTCGCGAAAAAAATTTTAATACGGCTGAAATAATAAATTGACAACTTCGAGGACCTAGAGTAAGAAGAAACTGGGTTCATCGTAATGAAGCTTGGGGGAAAGTGGAGGACGACATTTTGAACACCTTCTTTAAATACAGAAAAAGTGCAGTGTGGGTTTTAAAAAGAAAAACAATATATGTATCAAAATTGTGTTCCCTATTTATGAGTGGATTTTTTTAATACGTTCAATAAAATTTCACACACCAGGTGAAGCGCTAAGAGCCAAAAATAACAAACTCCATCTTTATTTTCACTGCATTCCGTCGTAATTTCCGTCTGGCATTGCGGCGGTGTCAGATTTTATTTTACTTTAAAGTCGCTTTTCTTAACGTCTACACCCTGTATAACTGAGAATATCTACTTATTTATATTGCGATGGAATAAAACTACACGAAAAATCATCCGTCCTTTTGTGAAACGTTGGAGAAAAAAAATAATGATTATTGAGCCGTTTGTTTTTTGCATGCCTTTATGACCATTGGTCTAACATGTGCATATCAACATGGTTATAGTATAGGTCCAGAAGTTGTTATGGTAGAAGTGGAAAAAAAATCGGGTGACCCTAAAATCGTTTATTGCGATAATAAAACTCACTTTTGTTTGCCTGGATTTACTGAATGTTTATCGATGTTCTCATCATACTGAGTCCTAACAAAATCTAAAGCACCATCATCACCAAAAGCTCCCCATTCCAAGTTGATCAAAACTTTTCCTGATCCCATATCAACGTCATTCCATACTTCTGCGTTCTTTTGTTGTTCAACGTAACACGCATTGCTTCCGGTACCTGTTTTTAAATGAAAACCATAAGAAATATGCAAAAAAACAATACGGACTTCAAAAGGGTACACAGTTTGAGCTTTATTATGGTTCGATCGTTGTGATATATTCGAATCATGATATTTATCTAGCAAACATGTTTGCTTTCCTGTATGAAAGGCGACGGTACTTAACAAGAACGTCGCTTAAATCAATCAGGACATACCAAATTTTGAAGCGGTTCATACCAAACAGTATGAATTCATGGAAGGTGCCCAATTGAGGAGATCACACGTATCGAAACATTATGGCACAAATTATGTATATACCCGAGAAGTCCCAAGTAACCAACTCTCTAAATATAAAATTATCTACAACTTGAGGCAACTGACAATTAGTGCTATGAATTGGCTATTCAAATGTCATTAACTTGAGATCAGTTGAAATAAATTGGAAAAAAACAATTGATATTTATGCTCTGGCCGCGGTATATAAACCTAAGGTGGTTTTACACTATTAGATGTTTTTTATTATGCCTAAAAGAATAAATGAGATAACTCAGTTTTTATGCGTTTCTAAATTATCAACCTATTATCTGCAGAAACATCAGATAATATGTTTTACCAAATATACACATACCTGTACCTCAGAGCCAGACTGGTTAAGTCCAAATAAGTAGTATTGAGATAATTGCGTGTGAAGTAGTTTTCTTGTATTGCATGTAACTTAACATGATCTTCAAAGTATTACAAGTAGGTAGACGCTGAAAGTAGTAACATCCACAATATCATGAAAGTATAAAATGTCAAAATAATTTTAGGCAAAAATGGACTTTAACCAAATCTGGCTCTGAGGTACAGCTATGGAAACGGTTAAAGTAAAATTGAAAATTCGGAGTTGATGTTACAAATTAATTATCATCAGCTTTGTAATAGGTAATCGTCATTACACAGAGGCTAGACAAAACAAATTCTTGGCTCATCATCCAATGAATAATCATGGTACAAATGAAGAAACAAAGTACAGTAATGACAAATGGTGAATGTTCAGAATAATAACAGATTATTCATAGATATACAATTTATAACACTCATTGTCAATAACTGCTAACAAAATTAGCTGCAAGCGGTACTAATACATGCATTTTTATGAAAGCATGAACGTGCACGCGTTATATTGGAATGTGAATATTCTCTATCTAAGAATAATAATTAATCACAGCGTAATAAATATTCAATCATATGTACGTAAATTGATAAAGATATATGTATTAGGTATTGAAAATCTGCGATTCTAAGAAAGTTTTGAATAAGATTCCTAATTAACTATTTGAAATCCTACGAAGTATTTTGAGAAGTTATTCTTCTTCTCTAAAATTGGATCAGCAAAAGGTTATTGTGTAATTACAAATGCATTATTCTCAATTGTTACACATTCCAATATTTTAGAAGTTTAAAAATGTTTTGGAATTTGACAGCAGCAACGAAAAGGTTAGCAAAAAAACGTGCACATGCGATGTTCCAATAACAGTGTATCTAGCAACAAACAAAAACAATTATGCTGTTAAAAAATAAAGATAGAATACAAAGACAATAAAACACCAATTAATGTAGGTACTATCATATTAGTCCCATTAGAACCTCGATAAAACCAGCATGCATGGCGTTAGCGAAATATACTCTTATTAGAAAGAAACAAACAATAAACTGTTAAGCAACACCAATTGGGAAGGAAAAATATACTAAGTATTTTTCCAGTTTACTTAGCAGGACTCATCATAATCCTCAACATTTAACCAAAATATGAGATGCGGTGATAAAAAACTAGTTTTACCCCGAGTCTATTTAAAATATGCAATAAAATCTCACAAAAACATACTTTAGGCAAAGGTGTATTGTTGAAAATTAGGCTTTAAACAGGTTAATGTTTCATCACCATACCCCGTATAAGTGTAGTTCTGCTAGTAAACTATAAAAAATCCTCATGATTAGCACAGTTCTTGCAGCAAAAGAGAACTACATAACTAAAAATTAATTAATTACTAATTATTTGCCATTTTTTAACAATCATTGTCAAGAAATTTCGTTGTAAGCTATCTCAATGTTCGTTCCCTAAGTGTGCCACCTGAATTCCAGAATGATCATTTAACTTAACACACTGACTGGCCTACGATATGTTATTGTATAAACTTCTTGCACCTACCAACAATTAGACCGATCCTGGTATAACGATTTTTCCAAGCGCACGACATGAGGGTTCCCGTGGTGTCATTCAAAATAGCTGTTACTTCAATCAGTACATCCTATAAAGAAAAGAAATGGCATGCATGAACATGGTAACATAAGCTCATATCCATGATCTGGAACCCTTTCATGAATGATGGGCGTACATTTGTGTCTCTACGAATATATCATGGGAATCAATAGTGAAGCGAACACAAAACGATTCATTCAAAAAATGTAAAACGTTCGACTTTTTGCTCACATCAGTTTACAAATTGAAGTAATTATCAAAATACCCTGCATGGAGGACCCAACGTGTAAAACCTTACAGCGATGATATGAAAAATCTCTTGTCGGTAAAATTTCATCTTGACACGAGCATCTGGTGGACTTTTGAATGAATCTCGTTGGTGGTTAATTTCTTTAAAATATTCGCAGTCAATTGTGCGATTACAAATATGTTGATGCTAAACAGGAATGTTTAATTTTGCAGACTGTCTGAAGTTGTTTATAACAAATTGTATCATGTGATTTTTGATCAAATGAACTGTTTATTGTGATTTCCTATTTTATTCTTGTAAACAATTTTCTGCCTCCTGAATATCTGTAAAAATTTGAAAGCATCGTCAATAGAACATAAGATAGAGAATATTGATACATTTCAGGCTTGAAACCTTGTCATCGGATGTCATCGTGAAGGCGCACGTTGTGGGAATCGGAAGCGAAAATTCTGAAGCACGTTTTAATCCAACTCTTGTTCTTAATTTACATGTATTCATCATTTAACGTACTTTTTTATTGCACAATATTGTTTTCTAGTTTTGTGTAGCTTCTTATCAGAATATTGATTGGATTGAGTGATGTCCGGAAAACTTCTGCTGAAGACAAACATGGATGCAACTTTTCGCATTCAGAGTAGCACTTTCTCCTCATTAGTAAAATTGATCTGCCATATGAAAACCCATATTGAGATGAATATAAAGATCATGCTGTCTTGTTTCTTTGGTTCCGTAACATAATGAAATAAATGAAAAAATATATAAAAAATATAATTAAATGAAAACAAAAACCAAAGGAACACCCGAGATATACAGGATGTTTCAGAAAAATGTGGCAATATTTCTAGGGCACAACTTAGATCAAGAAATAACATAAAACGTTCATATAATTATGGTTCCTAAAATTCTGAATAGGAATAAAATATTAAATTAAAATTTTGTACATGTGGTACTGAGATAGTTATCATTTCGTGCCTGAAATACACCCGTGGCGTAGGTGTTGGTAAATTTTGACCCCTACAGAAATCGAAAAAAAAAGAAAATCCTTCAAACTTCGTTTTTTGCCGTTTCAGCGACTCCTGATTATTTTTGAAAAAGATTTTAGGGGTAAAAATTTGTGGGTGGGCAGTAGTTGCAGGCTGGAGAAGGATGCATCGTAATTTTTTGATGTTATTATATTAATACACTTCAAAGCCCGATAATACTATGTATCTATTACACGTTAAACTTAGATCGATAGAAAAATGTTTTCGATGATCGCATGACTGCCCCTTTTGGACGAAAATTTGGTTAATATTCGCATAAAAACTTCAACCTGTTGTACTTTGGAAGTTAGCGAAGTTTGACGTTGAAATTTGTATCTAATGTATCGGGAGAGTAATCCTATCTCACCATAGCATTATTTAAGCAATGGTTATGTTTTGCCCGTATCCAGTCTCATCAGTGGCATAGAAATGGGATATATTAGGAGCTATGTTATAGGGGCTTTTTTGTTATGTTTGGTGTGCTTTTTGCTCTAGAAATATTGCCACGTTTGGCTGTAACAGCCTGTATATGCATCATTTAGAAGATATGAGCCAATAGATGCATGCTATGCCGCGCCACTGCGTTCCAGAGTTTCTTGTCATGCCTTCCAGGTGACGGTGCTATGACTCACCAACGATCAATCCGATTCTACAATCATGGTTCAACCAGGCACATGACATCAGTGTACCAGTAGAATCATTCATAATTGCCATCACTGAGATTTGGCAATCCTGGAATGTTTCATGTTTTCTCATAAGTTTATTTGCTATTTCATATAATTACAAAAGCAATCATTTTTTGTTAGATTTTTAGTTTGAATACCGTTTACTAACAGGACACCGACATTTCTCAAGACGATATTCATCTGGATATAAAATTACCAGAAACATACAATTGTAGATACAATGTAGATGTTTGTTGAATTTGAAAAATAACTCGGCAGCTTTTTTCTGGAGGAACAGATAACAGTGATTTTTTTTTGGTCGCAAAGTTTATATATTCAGAGCCGATGAAAACTATAATGTCAAAGGGTACAACACTGATTGTTGCTGAAACAATTCGAAAATTTATCTAAAACGTTTAATTTTTGAATGTGATATGGTGCCTTCATTTGCTATCAACTTTCTCTACAATCGTTGTATATAGTTTAATATATCAATCTATATTATCAGTACAGGTACAGACATACAGATCATTATAACTTATATATACTTAAGCGCCAATTAAAAAGGAGATAATGATCTCATTTTTTTCAACAGCATTACGACGTGTTAGATATGTACATACGCAAGCACTGAGTCACTCCCATGTTTGAGTTCAAGTTTTCAATTATAACCTTGTAACAGTTAATGTTACTACTTTCTTAATCATATAAAACTCATTTCAAATCTGCAGACTATATAATTTGCAGTTAATATATATTTTAACAGCTCGCAGACATCCTATGTGTTTGAAAATAGTCCTGAAATGTGACATTACTGTAATGACAGATTCTCGACAGAAATTCACCTCCTAAGTAGACTGTTCAACTTACCCCTCTCCTATCAATTGCTTCATTTAACATTTGTACAACATCGTTTCCTACAACATTGGAGCAGTTGAAGCCTTTCGTCCACCTTTCCAACACTCCAACTGTGAGTCCTTGTTGTGATAATGGAAAACTGAATGTGAAACCCAATGGAAGTCTCTGATCGTGAACCTGGAATATCAGATAATTTTAGTTATGTTTTAGTAAAAAATACTAACAATGGTAAAATGACATAAGTTACAGAAGTAGTGTTGCAAGGAAGTATAGCATTTCTATTCCTAATTGAGTCAGCAATGAATGAATGAATAGCCGAAAAGAAACGGTTACATACCTGTTCCTCTTTCACGAAAATGGCTAAGCACTCCGCGATATGGTCAAACAGCTGCTCCCCGGACCCCAACATTATATGTTGAGGAATGGCAAAGATTTTTGATTTCATTTCAAAATGTTCTCCACTGAGTTCTATCAGAAGTACTCGGAAATTTGTTCCTCCAAGGTCGAGAGCGAGAAATTTGCCATTTTCTGCAATACAATGAAATTAAATCCTACAACTGAAATGACAAATAATTTACTCCACAATGCAAACATAATCTGTATATAAATCACATTTTTCAAATGAACAAACAATGTTACATAAGATTATTTAATTCGACGTTATATGTTAAACGCCAGAAATATCTCAATTTTATATATATAAAGTAAACGAGTATAAAGGATGAACTTTGTAATGCTACTACTGTAAATTGTTTCATTTGTTGAAGTAGGTAGATCAAAAATAAACGAGCCTTCGCCAATTAATGTGTAGGCCGGCGACTTGAGGAGTGTCTGATATTCATAAAAGTACCCTCGTACTGATATTGTGAATTGTAAAGGCGTAAATTTGCCGATATTCCTCAAATTGGCAGAATCATCACGACCTATTATTTTGAACCTTATCCAATCTCGAACTGCCTTGTTCATGTTGACAACGCCTGGCCCCGCACCACAAAAGTAACACAACAAAAATTGTTGCGCCCTAGATCATCCACTTTACAACCCCACACTTCACATCGAACATAACAGTCGTAAGATACACCTCTTCTTGAATTCGCGGATGTACGTAACTGTTTTACGCTAATGAGTTTAAAACATATCCACAACGTTGGAATAATTGTGAAAATAAATTAAAACAGACTAGAATTAATTTTTCATACATGTTTTTAGGAAAAGACTAGTTTAAATTTCATCTCCAGCATCACACTGTAATTTTTAAAGCTGAGTATGGGTGTCTTATAAACCATTAAAATGCGTCAGTTAGTAAAATTATTAGGAATTTTATTAATTACGAATGTGCTTCGAAGATGGTATAGTAACACAAAAAATATTGATTGCAGAACGAATGAACGCTTATTTTATAGAAAGTATAAATGGGATAGTGGAATCAATCGAAGTTGGGGATCCAAATCTATGTATGTCACATGCAATTTACTTATAATTCTTCTGTGAGAGAATTCCAAACAATAAATATCAGCCGTTTTTCAGAAGCTATTACAAGATTGAAATCGAATAGAAATCCTAGTGAACATATTTCAAAAATGGTTATGAAGGAATGTTTAAACATTATGGGAGAGAAGTTATTCTTGGTAGTTAATCACTGTCTAGTGTATGGCGAACTCAAAATTAAAATGTTATACAATTACTCCTCCTCCAAAGTTGCAAAATTCTGAGTTATATACAAACATGCGGCCAATTAATGTACTGCCAGATGTCGAGAAGCTCTTAGAAGGAATGATATATGAACAAATCATTGAATATATTGAAGAAAATAATATATTCACAAAATTTCAAGCAGGATTCAGAAAAAAGTATTCTACTGAAACAGCAATTCAAATGGTAGTAGAAGAATGGAGGCGAAATATGGATGAAAAAAGTTTACAATAACATTCATCATTTGAGACTATTGACAGTCAGAAATTGTTAACGAAATTGCATCGCTATGGATTTCAAGGTTCAGTATTCAACTAAGAACTAAAATTGGCAATACATTATCAAACATTAAAAACATTTCGGTAGGTGTACCACTGGGTAGCAAATTAGGTCCATTACTATTTATTTTATATATTAACGATATTCCTTATATTTTACAACAGTGCAAAATTCAACTATTTGCTGATGATACATTAATAAATATATATCAAATAAATACATTGAAACTGCAATAGAGCTGTTAAATAATAATATGCAAAACGTAATAAATTGGTTAAATGTAAATAAACTTAAACTAAGCACAAACAAAACAAACTATATGCTAATAGGAAAATCTTTAGATCAAAATACGATAAATCTTACAATTAATCATGAAAAAATTGTGTCAATCGAATCATTTAAATATTTGGGCATATACGTAGGCAGTAAATTAAAATTTGAAGGGCACTATGAATATATTATTTCAAAAATATCCAAGAAAATAAATTACTTTTATAGAATTTCGCGTAGCTTAAGCGTTTATTCTAAAAAAATTGTGTACATCGTTCTTTCTCATTTGTTATATTGTTCGACTATTTTGTTCACTGTAAATGATAGTGTATTTTCAAAATTACAAATATTACAAAATAAAGCTATGAGAATCATCTTAAATAAAAATAAATATACTAGAATAAATTTTATGCTGAAAGAACTACAATGGTTAAATTTCATAGCCTACTTGGTTTTCATTTTCATATTCAAGTTAAAAAATCATATTCTACCAAATCACTTAGAAAATTTTATTGTATTGAACAATGAGTACCACAATTATTCTACTAGAGGAAGTATAGACTTTCATTTACAAAACTGCAGTAGCAATATAAAGAGCAAGTCAGTATTTCAAAAGGGATTGTACGAATTTAATAAATTAAGTAATGATATCAAGATGTGTGTCAGTTTGAAAATGTTCAAAGGGAAATTGAAAAAATATCTCATGGAAAACCAGAATTCATAGTAGTGAAATTTTTTATTAAAATATGTAGTCTTGAAGACATAATATATTTTGTGATATACTGTGTAATATGGATATTATGGATATTATAGCATTAATGCTAAATAAATCTGAAACAAACAAACTTGAAACCAATGACCATACCCTCTTGAAGGGATCGATAACAGGGGGTCAAGTTCTGCCACTGGGTGGACGATACCTGCCCATTGTTAAAATTTACGTTCTTCATGACACTTGAGCTTTGTAATATTATTCGTAATGATAACATAGTGTATATTGATTAATACTGATGAAAACCTACCAGTGCCATTAGGAAGATCTTGTACATAGGTCGGGAAACATTTCACTGTGGCCGTAGGGTGCGTTTCTTTCTTGAGTCCTCTTTCCACATTATCGAGAAATACTTCCATAAGCTTCTTGAGTTTGTCATTGTCGAGTATCAGCTCGCGGCATTTATCGCGTATCTGAAACAAATCAGCGGCTTAATAAAGGTTTGAACAATAACGTTTGTTGAATGAAAAATGTGTAGGTTGCAGTTTCAGTTAAGATGTCATATTGATAGACCTCTCGCGTGCACGATGAAAACAGTACGAAGGTCATCCGTGGAATGACCTAATAATCAGGTGTAGTTAATCAAGGCAAATTAAACGTCCTACCACGTGCAGATAATTTGCAGACAGTCATTAAAACCGAACGAATATAGTTCAGAGATATCTAAGAAAATGTGGGCAATACGTCTTAAAATTATCGTCCTGGAATATAAACTCGCTATTTTTCAAAGTCGCGATCCGGCAGGCTGTGCAGACTTGTGCGTTTTTGTTAGTGAGTCGCTTATAACTTAACCAACCATCAAAACGCTATTGTTTATTATATCAATATCAGTATTCTATTCTTGGAAAGGTCTATCCGAATATGTAATAAAATATGGATCATCCCATTAAAAAAACTACTCCCCGGCTTGACCCGTTCAAAAAATAAGTAGAAAATGCACTGTATATCTAGGTGTGTGAGCCTAGTAAGAAGGATTTATAGAGTTAAAATATTATACACCTTACAGGAAATAGAACTCCTTTCCCTACTTCAAAAATATTCACAATCCCTACAAATTATTTTTGGATGCGACCAGAGTTTCGAAACGACAAAGATCGAAGCTATTTCTCATTTCTATCGCCATTTGACTCGATCACTTCTGCCTCAATTTTCAAAATCGCGAGGAAATATGATATCGAACTTCCATGCAGGCTTTTAATAAGGAGGTCATGAGCTACAGCAAAATCCAATCGGTTAGTTATAGGAGTGAAGCATTACAAAGAACATTCGATATATTGAGACCATATGAAATATACAGTAATGGACAAAAGTATATGGACAAATTAATATTGTGCTTGCTGTATTTCTAGGTTCTAAAGCGGCAAAAAGTTCATCCTTGTTTGAATAATTTTTATCTCGTATTTGCTTATCTAAGTATTCCCATAGATTTTCAATGGTGTTTATATCGGGAGACTGTGAAGGCCATTTGAGAACTGGTATTTTTTCATCCAGAAATAATTTCTTTGCGAGATTTGAAGTGTGCTTCGGGTCATTATCTTGCTGTAAGATTGATCTTAAGGGCATATTGTCTTCCATATAGGGTAATATGACATGCTTTAGTATATCTGTGTATACAAACTTATCCATAATGCCATCTATTCTATGTAAAGGTCCCATCCCAAACCCCGAAAAGCACCCCCAAACCATAACAGACCCGCCTCCATGTTTGACAGTGGGCAAAGTGTACTTGGGGTTCAATCTTTGTCCACTAGGACGTCTACGTAATGAACACAATCTGATCCAAACATATTGAACTTGGATTCGTCACTGAAACATAGCCTCTACCAGTCATAGATGCTCCAATCAAGATGCAACCGTGCAAATTGTAATCGCCGGTCCTTACGGTTGTTCCTCGGGATTAGCGGGTTCTTACTCGGGCGACGTGCAAATAACTTCAAATCGTCTAATCTTCTACTTATAGTTTTCTTAGAATTACTGACAATTCCTTTTGTCTCGATTTCGGCTTTTATTTGTCTTGGGGTTTTGAACGGATCTTTGGACGAAATTAATTTTATTAATCTAACTGATCTAGCATTTAGTTTTCTAGGCCGACCATTTCTCTTAGAGGCTTCCAAGATACCTTTTTGTTTATATTTGTTCAATATTGCCCAAACTGCTTTACGCTTGAGCTTCAAATTTTTGGCAATGTCGACGTGACGTTGACCATCTTTGTATAACTTAGTTTTCACATCGAAAGAAATTTCTGGACCACGCGGCATGGTCTTAAAATCACTCAACTTATTCCACAATACTTGATGAACACAAACTAATCCTCTTCTGACACGAAACTGTACTAAACTAATGTTGAAAAGAATTTGTCTAGATATTTTTGTCCCTCATAAAAAAGTGCTTATATTCAGACTTTTATTGTGTTCATTGCAGATAATGTAAAAGCAAGGAATTTAGTTTCTCTTCTAATAACGCATTTGTTTATGGAGCAATGAAGTATGTTCGTTTTCTAAACGTATTTAGGTAAATATTCATATTTGTTCATATACTTTTGTCCATTACTGTACATATATACTAAGTGACTTATAAAATGCAACACCTAGAATTATTTATTGAATTTTGATAAAAACGGTGATAAAATGTTGAAGGCATTCGGAGCCGTACTTTTTTTGTGAAGGCTTTTTTTGTCATATCAGGATCCGAACCATATGAACATGTTCACTTAATATTCAGTGAGTTTTATGTATTGGTTCCATTTGTTTCATTGCATTATCATGAATAGAGTTCGCAAACTTTCCGAGTTTGAGAGGGGGGGGGGGTTAGGTGTTGCCGGATTTTCTTTTAGAGAAATCGCTAATCGGGTGAATCGGTCACATATCCTGAAAGCCAGTCCTCATATAATCAAAGCAGTTCACTCATATTTGCTCGCATGCATAATAAGTTAGAAATTTGCTAAATTTAAATATATGTAAATTGAGGTAAGTAATCATCATAAAACTGTTTTAATTAATTTACAATAGTTGTTTTGGCAATATTTCGATAAGTATTACCTTCAAATGATCAGAAGAAAACAGGAAATATCAAGCAGTTGTGTTGTTGATAAGAGTGATGAGGTCGCCTGTCGAATACCAAAACACTTATCAATACATCAGTAAAAAATTAATTGATGACAAATAGGAAAAGCACGCGAGAACAAAAACAGATTTTATTTTAATGCAGTTCACGCGACATGTAACAAAAAATGATTGCTAGAAATACGCTTAACAATTTACAACTTATGTACAGAGGGCGATTAAATAAAACAGGATACATATATTTATGAAGCAGAAAGTGACTGCAAAAATATCATCAAAAGTTACAAAATACATGTCATAAAATGTTGCATGCTTTTTTCAAAAAGAAATCGGTGACTTAGGAAATATTTTTCTTAATTTTTCTGTATAGTCGTCAAAATATCCTACTTTCTACGCCACTGGTCTGGTCTGAGGCAGGAAGTTGATACGTCTTTATATATTATATGTAGGGTATCAGGGAATTGAAGGATAATCCTTCAATTGAAAATAGGTCACGTCGTGACCTACTCTTTGGCAAAATTTTGTTTAGTCAAAAGTCTCATGGTCTTTAAGATAGGACATCTTACTTCCTATGTCACTGGGAGAGGAAGTATTGTAATCGCGAAAGATTTCAAAAATGAAATATTGTTTTTTTATGTTATATGATATACATCACGAAAAACCATGTCACTGATTTCCGTCGGTCTGTCTGTTTGTCCCCTATTCCTTAACTTGAGAAGTACCGTTCATATATTCATGAAATTTTCAGTTTTCACACAATTTTTTGTAAATCTTGTGGACTGACATTTGACAAACTGACAGAAACGATACTTCCGATGGATCTCATTTCGGCTTGTTCCAAGTTCCAACGTTCCATCGCTCCATGACCATGAAGTTGTTTATTATTTTGGTGTTATTTTGAGCTCAAACAGAAACGATTCCATTAGTTTTCGAGATAACTGTATTTTGATTTCGAGCTTCAGTTTATTGCTCCAAATAACTGATGAATAATAATGGGTAAGTTGCAATATAGCTATTGTGTTGATTGTTGAAGTGCATTGTCAACATGAAGTGATCCAGCGGTGATGCTGAATAGCAGTTGCGTCAAATACCTTGACATTTTTTGAGCAGTTTTCTCTTGTGGTTTTTGCTTGATAGTCTGTTCAGTAAGTGTCTAAACTGTATTTCATGGCTACTGCACATAAACGCTGCATCCTCGGATAGTTTTACCAGCGCCTTTACATTTAGTGATATTTTTTCTATAATTACTGTGTTTTCTCATGCAGACATTTATTTTGCTTTCATTATACTACACTAGGCCGATAATATTTAATGAGATATCTACGTTACTTTACTCAAAATATACTATACATTACTATATATTTTTTCGTGTCAGATTTGTTTCTTGTGCTATCCCGCGCGAGCACGTCTATGTACAGACGTCGCTTTTCTACTTTGACGTCTGAAATCAGTTCATAGCAAATGATGTGAAACAACAACCAATAAACTACAATAAACACACCTACTTGATTTCTAGCTATACAAACAAAATATTGGGAAGCGAACAGTGTCGAGTCGACCAAAAAGTCAACATTTCCAACACACCTCACGTGCATTTTTGGAATTCCAAAGGTGTACATACCAGCGGCGATGCGTTCGTGTGCACTTTGTAGCCCATTTTGGCCTGTTGTCTGTGTCTCTGGCAGACGGAATCGCGCGGTTTCATACGTGTAAATCCGACATTCAGTTCGCACGTTACGAGTTTCTGGAAAACTAACGTTTTTGATTTCACCGGTACGCGATTCAGCACTCGAACGGCTATCGCGGAAAGAAGGGAAATAACGGCCACGTTGCCAGCTTTACAAAATGTCTTTCCGATAATCCTTAATGGTTTTTGAGAAGTAGGCTGTAATGTAATAACTCATTATTTGAAATACTCGTATGAAAAAATACAGTTGTAGAGTAACGGAAATAATGCAAAATTGGTTATTTTTTGTTTATGAAGTAAAGGCCTCTGCTTTTATGGTATGACAAATTTCTCCAATGCTACGAAACATAGGGACTTTAACTAACATCAGATCCTTAAAACTATAGCTACTGCAACCATATGCATATGGCAGTATATCCTGTATGAAAACGTATCAACAAAAAATAAAATTGAATAAACTTGTTCAAACTACTCCAATGAGGCATAGAGACTGATACAATTTGGACCCATACATAGAAAATGAATAATGTCTACGTTTTACTTGGTCTTTTGAAATATCAGCACTTTTGAATAAGGTATCTGTTTTTACATATTTTTTATTTACTCTATTGTCTTGTGGTAGCTCTCCTTTTGATGAAAAATAAATTTATATATTTGACTCCAG